CACGTTTATTATCAACAGTGAAACTTATAAGGTTTGATCATGTTTTTTATATTATGCTTGGTACTTTTTTTTCTACTACCAATGGACTTACCTGATTAAACAAAGATTTAACGATAAAACAAACAAACAAAAGCAGTTCCTGTACAAGAAGAAAACCTTCCCAACTGGGAAGTAAGAGGGTGGAAGTATCATGTGGGGTAGTTTTACCATAGGAGAGACTGGAGGATTTTCCCAAATAGATGTGTGCAGAAATAAAGTCACATATCTGGACATTAGCCAAAGCTTTAATGGTAACGGTCCTTTCAAAAGGACCTTCAAACATACCATGACACCAGTTACAAAGTGGCTTAAGGAAAACAAAGTTTGTGTTTTGCATTATCCATCACAAGGCCTTGGTCTCCTTTTTATAGAGTTTGCAGGCAGAGTTTCAAGGTTTTGTCCAATCAAGTCACAAATGTGGACTCTGCATCACACTTGTAAACATCATATATGCATTTTTTCAAATCCCTTGAAATAGCTCCCTGTTCTACTACATTTAGCACCATATCTATTTTATTTTATTTTGCACTGCTCTGAACCTTTTCATATCAATGCTTTTAGCACTATGTCTTAAACTGGTTTTCTTTTTCTCCTGTACTGTTTACATTTTTGATCACTGCTGCACTTTATAAATGGAAATGTTAATTTCACTGCTAAGATGCTCGTTCACTCTGTGTATAAAAAAAAATAACAATAGAGTTTAAGTCTAAGTTAGTAAAGCTTTTCTTGTGAAATGATGTACAAGATTGTATTAAAGTTTGAATGTGGCACTTCCAAATATTAAGAATTTTGCGTAAACTTCAGAATTCAAATAAAGTTTCTTAAATGTCATTCTGATTTTTTATTTTTAGACAATAAGGAAAAATTGATACTGTATCTGTTTATACAATATAAACAACTAATTAAAACAAAAAAAGTGAAGCAAAGATTTCACATGTGTAATGATATAAACAGCTAAATACTTTTGCACACACACATTGTAATGAAGAGCAAGACTATGGAATTAGGTGTAAGGCAGAAAATTACAAAGTAATGATTAAATCTTTATCCTAAAAAGATCCATCTATTCGTCTCGATAAAATATATTAAGTAGTTTTTAAAAGAAATCTGTTCAAAAATCTAGAACCATCCCATTAAACTAAGACATGAACCTTTGAGAATAAGATATAAAATTTGCAAAACACTTTCAAGTTTTCCTGTAGTGATGTTTGTGCCCAGAACTCTCCACACAATGTAACATTTAACATTAGCGCAAGACAATGGAGACAAAGAGAAAAAAGATGACAAGTTGGCCCTGATGTGTCCATATGTCAGAGAGATCACTAAGCAAGACTTTGACATAAAACCATAATGGTTCCTGACAAAAAGATATACCGCAGAGTCAAAGACAAAGACTTGACTGTGATCTGACAAGATTCTGTCACTGGTCTTTAAGATGAAATGAATGGCTTTTTTCACGTGCCAGATGTGCAGACTAGAACATGTGTGGTTGAGACAAACAGAATTTTTTTTTTTTTTAACTAAAGTGACACAAATTTTCAAACAAGAACACATAAAAGACAAAAATGAAGTTCCATAAATGCATGAATTCATAAACATTTAGAGGCTGGTAAAACATTAAGTCAGTTTTGGAAATTTTTCCATCAAAACACAAGCCAACGACACTACAATGTTACCCTGCATGCTGGTGATTGTGTCATTATATTCCAAACTCAGATCACTATCATCTTAACAACACTAAGAACAATCAGAACTAGCAATACTTTTATAGATTATATTACTTTAATGATGTCTGCTAATAACATGACAGCATTTCTGGCTTTCTGTTTGTTCCCAAATAGATTTTTAAATCTTGCTACTGGTATGTTAAGAACTTAAACATTTGGGACTGAATACATCTCAGAATTTTGTTTGTTGCAAACCATACAGCTCTCAGTGACCTTTTCAAAGAACTTAACAAAGGAACGCAGCCTTCGCTTCCCATTCCACTTAGAGAACAAACCACCTGAAACCTTGAAATGGATCAACAGGGTTGGCTACTTTAAATCATCACTGATAACATTGTTCACTGCAGTTTTCTCATAAAGATCAAGGACTCATTTCAATAATGTCAAATATATATTTGCATATTTGCTATATTTGCATTGTAGTTTATGATTTTAATGCTTCTGTTAAATGTATAATTTTTACTATTTACAATCAGATTCAAAGTTTCTATCTAAGGAAAACCAGTTGATTGCATCGACTCATTGACTCGAATGCAATCCCTCACACTAAGCATGCAGGGAGGGACGGTGGAGAAAAAAACTCCCTTTTAACTGAAGAAACCTCCAGTAGAACCAGGCTCAGTGTTAGCGGCCATCTACCGAGGCCGACTGGGTTTCAAGGAGACAGAAGCAAACATGGAAAAAGAAACAGATTTATAAAAGGTAACAGTCAATCAGCTCCACAGGCGGACTGGCCCAGGGAATATATAGTCAGGCAGACGAGCTCTGAGCCAGCTCCAGTGTCAGTGGATGAAAGAGAGCACATACAGTTAGTCACAGTAAGAGAAACAGGACTGAACTGAAAAACAGGCCAAACTCCATCTTCTTAAAAACAAGGATGGCAGCAGCACAGCTGATATTTCTCTCTGGGGGGGGGGGGGGGGGGGGGGGGGGGGGGGGGGGTGTCACAGCCAAACAGGAACAGACCAGATGAAGCTACTATGAAAAAGAGTAGAGAGAGAATTTAATTAACAATTTCAGCAGAACGGGAGAATAGAGATAGAATTAAGTAGAATGATGAAAAGGGGTCCCTATGTCCTCCAGCAGTCTAAGCAGCATAACTATAGAGATAGCTCAGGATAACAAGTAAACAGTTGATACAAATATAGAGACATTAACTGATAAAAAAGAAACATTTTCCACATTTTCAAATATAAAAATATTAGCCAATGTAAAAAAGATCACAACTGCTCTAATAAAATCTTTTTGTTAATAAATTACCTTCATTCACATTTCCCTCATTCATAATATTTTATAGTAGTACCTTAAAAGTTAAAATATATATTCCTTTTGTTTGATTCTCCTCTCTTATGTTCTCTTCTCTTGTTCTATGCGATTTATGGATTGATATGGATACGAAATAAGCTTTATTTTGAGCTTGGGTGAACCACTTTTGTACTGATATGGCTTTATTGCTTTGTATTATATAGGAGAAAAAAGCCCATAGCATCACATATCCTCCATCATATAGTTATTTGTTAGTTAGTCCACCCACCAGGAGTGGCTGTCATATGACTAAAGCAAATGTTCTCAGCAAACATTTAAATAACCCTAGATATTTACAGTTATGATAGTAGGACTAAAAAAGGGTCTTTTCTTGAATGCGACCAGTTGGCGTGGTATCAGATGGTTGTTATAAATACCCGATCATCCCGAGATGCCATTCATAGCTGCAGTTCCCTACTGGTGAGCTTAATGGATTGTTTTGACCAGACAAGTTTAGATGGCTGTAGCTAAGTGTGTCAAAGCATATTTATCACTCAGAGGAACAGAAAGTCATTTATAATTCAGCAAAATCCCAGAAAATTATGATATTTTACTTCTAGTGGCACTGAACATAGAGAACACTGTGTTTGTATTGAATATATGAAAAGTTTGAGATAATCAATTTAAGTTTTTTCTAAAACATCTTTTTGTAATTTAGGTTTGTAACCTAATTTACCACATGACTGCGTTTATTATCTTATCTATTCTCCAATTGATGTGGAATCTGTGCTTCCCTTCTACAGTTTGGATTATTTTCTCTGAAGGGGCATCAAAGACATTTAAGACAATTTACTTAGCTCTGTGTGACACAGTAACTGAAGAAAGTAGAAAATCATCTGGCAAATCTTCCAACATTCAGGGGAAAATGATCCAGCTGTTTAGCAAAGCCTGGGTTGGCTCTTTATTTCCTGTCTGCGCAGTTTGTCGTCAACTTCAGATGAATAAAACAGGCAAGATAAACTGTGGAGTGACTCATGTTAAGTCCCGTTGTGTTGGCTTGTTCTTAGTGATAATTAAAGATGACAAAAAAAACAAACAAAAAAACAATTGTGAGGTTAAGACCATGTGGTTTGAATCTTTGTAAGTTCATCCCTTTGTGTTTTATAATAGCTGCTTTAAGACTTTTTACTAATGAATGACTTAAATCCTTAATAGTTCTTTTTCATGAGCAATACTTTTAGCTTTATTAGGACATTTTGTATGCTGTGTGTGTGAATATAAAAGCACATGATGTAAGCAGGGCCCACCCAGGAAGTGACTCCACCCTGCAGGGACGCACAGAATTTCCCCCCTTTGCTGAAGTGAGGAGAGAGCGAGCCATGGCTCATAGAGCCTCTCCGTTTGCCCACTCTCAAAAGACTCCATTGTTCCCTGCAGCAGGAGCCCAGAAAGAGAGCTAAAGGGAATTATGAAGCTCGCCAGTGAAGCAGAGGCTGGCGGGCGGGGTGGGAGGTGTTGGGTTGGTGCCTAAAACCACACCGAGGACAGGGATCTAGACATAGAGCATCTCTGTGCAACTCACAGTCCACTGCTGGAGGTTTGCCGTAGCTTAACAGCACCTTATGAAAAACTCCACAACATGACCCAAAAAGCACACCTAACTGTCAGAGGGACCAACTGACTTAACGATCCCAAGCAGTACTGCTCTCCATATTTGGTGATGCTTGTCAGTCAGTTTGAAACTGGTTTTGTTTTCTTTCCCCCCTTTCCAATTTGAAGCACAGCTTGAATTGGCCAATCAGAGACAGGGAAGATTTTGCCTTGAGCCACTTGTTAACATCTGTATACTTTGGCTGGAAATAAAAATGAAGTGTCATGAGACTGTAACGGTCACAAGCATATAAGGGGGAGTACAGTACTGGTCAACAAAGAGCTTAGTTGTAGCCATTGTCACTTTATAAAAGAAATGGAAGGAGATGAGCAATTTAGTGATTTTTTTTTCTTTTTTATTGAAATGGTAGGAACGAAAATGCTGCAATTAAATAAAACCTTTGCACGAAACAAATGGCACAAAATAAAGCAGAAGAAACATATCATTGCAAACATTTGCAGTGTCTAAAATCTAAATCATTAAACATCGCTCCTCTTTCAGTGCACATAATAAACACGTTTTAAAAAGCAAGTAGGGTAACATAAGAGTATTTGTACACACAGTTAGCACAGTTACAGTTGGAAAAACAAAACAAAATACCTGCTTAACACTGAGCTCTAAATCTAAGTGCAGCTTTGAAATGTAATCCTGTGTGCAATCTGCAGTAAATAACTGGACGGCTGTTCTGGCAACATAAAAACAGATGAATCTCCTTATACGCTAATACTATTATTACGTCTAACAACCCATGACAGCACCAAAGCCTGTAGTACATATTTAAGGAGCGGGTGCTGGCTGAAAAACTTCAGTCAAGTCACACTCCTAACACACTTGAAAACCTTTAAATCCTCTGAGCCAGAGAGAGATGACCAGAAACAGTGGCACAAACCCTTCTGCTAAATTTCACAGATATGTATTAGGTTTTAATGTGTCAGTGTTAAAGAGGGCAGAATGTCACGTTACTCCAGCAGACGAGGGCTCCTGTTTCTGCTCCGCTCACCCTCAGACAGCATGCCTATGGTCGGAACAAAGTCTGCACGCTGTGCTTCATACAGTTGGCCGCCATGTCCGGTATTCTGGCTGCATTAGAAACTGTTCTAACTCCTGGTATACAACACTGCTGCTTAAAAGTTTTTGCCCCTTGCACATTCCTTCAGTTCTATTTTTTTGTCACATTTAAATATTGCAATTACCATATCATAGAATACGTGAGATAAGAACAATCCAGGTCATTACTGAGAGTAGTTTTCTTAGAATGATCTTATTTATTAAAGGGAAAAAATAAAATATGTCTCTTCTCCTAGAAAATCATAAATTGTCTCCAATCAACCAGTTTTTTTTTAAGTTTAAGTTCATTTCATTAGAAATACCAAGACCTGATCACCACCAGACTTCTAGAAGGCTAAAAGAAAACAAGGAGCAGTGGTAAAACTTTCCAGAAACCAAAGAATAATTAAAGAGCGCATCATTTAGGAGGTCAAATAACATCATCTAAACCACTCCTTCAATTGCCTCAGTTAAAAAAAAGGAAAAAAAAACACAGCCGACCAAAAATAACTGCCAAAAGAAATGTTTCAATGATCTACAAGACTTTGACAAAAAACTTTGTATTGTATTTTGTTGGAAGAAGATTTTCCTGTTATACTGTAGCTGCATAAAACCCAGTCTGATGTTGCTTGGTTACTTCAGAACCTAGATGACTTGCCATAACGGATGGAAAGATTAATGATAATGTGTTAAACTCAAACGGCCCATGTTATACAGTAAAATAATGATTTCATGCATATAAGCCATATGCATGAAATATAGTCCATATCTCAGCGCACCCCAGTGAAGAGAGGCTTAGTCAAAGTCTTTATTGAAATCCAATTAGCCTAACTTTAAACAATATTTTTTTTTCAGAATATTGACTCCAATGTTGCTGAATTAAAATAATTCTGAACAGTGGGACAAAGATTCTCAGCAGTGATATGAAGGAGCGATTGCAATTTATTGCAATATTTAAGTGAGACAAACTAAACTTTGAAAAGAACTCTGCAAGGAGGCCTATACAGCACAGTAAAACAATGTCCTATAATTGCCTGTTCATATTTTGAATATAATCAAATGCTATCCTATGCAACTGCAAGAAAATGAGAAAGTTGTTTGCTCTATCCTATCTAGTTCCAATGCATTATATATTTATATACATATATATACAAACATCCTGGGGGTGTGTAAAAGTATTTTCTACTTTTAACTCCCCATTTCCTTCAGTATTTGAACGCACTACTCCATTTAGATGCTCTTTTCTCTTAAGCTGAATAATTTTGTGTTACTTCACTTTAATGGAGATACATGCTTTCCCCGTGATATCAAATAATTGTTTCTTTTCTCTTGGATCAACTAAATACCTACAAAAAGCACAAAAAAACATCACAATTTGTTTGTCCCCTTGTTTTGTTCACTACAGGAAAATAAAGGAAAAGTGAGCTTCTAACATCAGTAGCTCCTTAAGTTCAGGGAGGTTAGCAGGGCAAACAAAGATGTTGGCTTGTGCACCACTCTTTTCTGTGGTATATATATATATATATATATATATATCTATATATAGATATATATATACTAAACCCACATCATTTCGAGTCCAGGTTAGATTAGTTTCGTTCTGGCGTTGTACTTTTTTCTTTTATCAAACTCAAAGTCACAGTTCAGTAGTTTAGGATTCCCAGAACTTTACATACTCCTGTAGCTTGGTGGACTCTTTCCTCAAGGGCTGTAGGAGAGAGAAGAAGAGAACAAGAACCATTAAGTGGTTTTAATTGAATTTATTAGGCTGAATTCATTTTAAAGTTGCTTTACCAGTGATTGTCTATTATTTATGGGAATGTGAATTTAAAGATACATAAGAACATATCTTGTCTGCAGATACAAATAATAAAATACAATTTAAAGTAAACAAGGTGTTACATATGTTTTTAGTTTGTCTACTCCCTTAAAGTATATCTTACATCAGTTTTTTAGTATAACGGTAAGAAATCAAACATAGCTGAACTATTAGTAGCTGAAAATAACAAACAAAAATGGCTTATTCCAGCTCTTAGCTCCACTCCTGGCAAACACAAACCCTCTGTTCCACAGGATTAAGTCAAGCTGTCATTATAAAACCTGCCAGCGTGATGACCACTGCTCATGTAGATTGAAACTGAGTCAATAAACAGAGTAATTTGGAGCCAAGAGAGAGTCCCTTGTCACCATGAATACTTATTTTTTTTACACCTAGAAGCATGGGACTGCATGTCAGTTAAAGGAGCAGCTTTCACCAGGGTGTCAGGGTTGTTTTTTTATTTACAGGGAGACAGAATGTTTTGTTACAATGAGAATAAAACGGGTGTAGGGTTTAGGTCATTTGCCAAGAGAATCTAATGGAGAACTTTAAGGAAACAAGAATCTTTTTTTACAGATTTTCTGCTCCTGATAAACCTGTTACTCACATACATTCATACACACACAAAAACAAGTATGATATTTAATTATGGTATTCTAATTAAGAAGGGCATATTCTGTGGAAACGGTTATTTAGAGGAAACTGTTCATATATTAGGTTCAACACCTTAGACCATTTATGGCAGTGTCAACTTATCACCACAAACCAACAAGCCCCATTACATCAGTGGACATGATGTAATGGGATTGTGTAATGGCTTAACATTTTAGAGAAAGCAAGAGATGACTCTGAGCACTTTTTTTTTCAACATTCCCAGTAGCATCAGTAATTCCTGCTCTCAGAGCTCTGTGTAGTTTACATAAAAGGACAGTTATACAGACCATTAAAACCATTTTGTCAAGATCCAACCACAAACAACAAACTTTTTTTTTATTTTATGGGAGAGTAAAACACATAAAACAATTTAGTAATAAAAAAAAGGCTTTTACTTGTATCCAACCTTCATTACTCTCATATCCATTTCAGAGCCACTTTGTGTGGTTAATAATACAGTTCTGTAAAATCCTAAGAGGTTTATTAGAGAACTTTACTGCATCGTGAAGACCAAGGAAGCCACCCACTGATCAGAGATAAAGTTGTAAAAAGTTGCCGTATAAAACAATATTTTGACTTGTAAATATTCAATAAAACACTGTATGGTATGCATCCAAATAGTTTAAATAGATGCCACAAATACAAAACTACCAATGAGAGAATTCACCAAGAAACCCAATAATAACTGTGGAGAAGCTGTATGGATTGACAGCTCTGGTATAATCTGTTTATTCAGACAACTATTAGTCGTACATTCCCCACAGTTCTGGAAAGCATCCAGAACAAACCGATGGTTTCTATCTCCAATGCAAGAAGAGTGAGCAATATTTGATGGTATTTTGTGGTATTAATGAGATAGACATAAAGTAAAGATAGAAAATATTCATTACTTATTTGCAGTTTTTTTTTAAAGTAATAATTTGGCTGTCACTTATGGGACAACAACCATAGTCCCACAATCACAAATACTACTCCTAAACAAATATACCACATTTAAGATAGGCTTTTTCAGGACAACCATTTAATTAAAACTGCACATAACTTTTAATTAAACTTTTATAATCCTATTTAATCATGTTTTTGTTTAGCTATCAATGATCTATTAAATAAATATTGGCGAAATAATTGTCAATATACATTTTTTTTGTGTGCTTTCAGACATTATTAATCTTAAAGGTACAATGAAGGATTTTTGCGAATTTTTTGAAAAGACCTGCCCTCTCCACTATAAAGTCAAGCATCCTTCTTGTTCCACTTCGCATTTATGTGCTACCCTACTTCCTGACTGTCCATCACCTAAAATGAGTTGAAGTTTATCATTCCAACAAATAGTAATAATGGTTCAACACAACACTGTTTACATATGGTCACAGAGGGAAGATATACTTACGAGTATTTGCCCATCTTTCTCCACAGTGAAAGGATCACAGCACCGACAATGACCACTGCCACAATAGCAGCAATCACAATTCCTACGATATGTCCACTGCTCAGGCCCTCTGAAAGATAACGGCCATTTCTTTTAGATCTATAAAACATATTTTTCATTATAATTTTTATTAAATCACAGGCTGTTAAATGGGATTTTTTTTCTCACCTTCCTGCCCATCTTCAATTTCCATCCTCTCATTTTCTTCAGTCCCATCTATCGCCTCCTTGTGCGCGTTAGAATAAGTTGTTTCGGTAATCGAAGGTAAGGTGTCTGTCACTGCAGAGGGTGTGGTTTTTAGAGCGGGATCAGCAGTAGTGATGGGAGGCAGTGAACTTGCCTGGGCAGGAAGTAAAGTTGATTGGGTATAAAGAATCGTGCTCTCAGTAGAGGCTCCCTCAGTTATGGCAACAGTAACCATCTTTAATAGAGAAGTTGTAGGCTTTGTATCTTCTGCTGCCGTAGTGACCTCAGTAAAAGCTTTGGGTGCAACAGATCCACCAGTAATGACAGGAACAGCCTGTGGACTGGTTGGAGGAGGACCAGTGATGATGTCTTCTCCTACCTTCATGACATCTGTGGGGACTGATGTGGGGCCTGAGGTAGAAATTAGAAAAAAGATCCCAAATAAGATTCATGCTCACATCTTTTTCCCATGCATTAGACAAGCTGGCAGATACAGACAGAAAGGTTCAATCCAAACTGTGGTCACATGCTGGCTTCAGGATGACTTTTTAATGTTGTTGCTGAAATGTGTGTTTTTGTAATGTTTGAACATTACCCGCCTTTAAAATACAGAACTAGACCGCTTTATTATAAAATCTGGTTATGGTAACCTTTTGGCATCACCACCAGACAGAGAATCAAGAAGTAAATGAAGCAGGCAGATTAATTTCCATCTCTCTCTTTGGACTGTTTACATAAAACATGGGTGGTAAAATAAAATGACATTCAACAAAGATGTTCAACGATCTCCGAAGAAGGTGCCACCAAAAGTAATAACCGTCCCAAAATCAGTGCACAGTTAACAAAGGTGGTGTGTATGCCAAACCCAACAACCTCATAGAATGTGCATCCTCCCTCCATTGATCCACCCCTCTTCCTGCTTTAATGTTTGCATCTTTTCTCTGTTTAGGGAAATGCCACATCCTCTGCTTCACTTCCTGTGGAAGAAGTGTCAGGGCGGTTGGAGAATGGTTGTTGACACTAACTTTTGAGGCAAATACGGGCTTATGATGTAACTTGTAAGAGCACTTGCACATAAAACAAAATTGGATGTATTAGAGAGTTAATTTGGGCCGATTTTGAAAAGGATGACACTTTAATTTGAGTTTTCAATCATGTAAAAAGATTTCATATCAAAACCATTGAGCGTCAAGTTCTATCCAACCTTTAATAATAATGGAATCTAAGGTAATAGCGGGGATTTCCATAGCTTAAAAAGCTATTTGTCCTGCCGATATGTCTTGCTGAAACTGTGACAACTAACATCCCTTATAAAGACTATGAGCTGGCCTGATTTTCATCTTAATGACTTCCCATCAATAGGGCTGGATTACTCTCTCCAAGTTCTACATCCCTTCAGCCACAACTGAAAATTTAGTCTGGAAAGCTCTACTTGAAAATTAAGGAGCCAGCCTTCAACAGTGGCACCAAAATTACAGCCTGTAATCTACTTTCCACTGACAAAAAGTTGGCTTAAAGATTCCTTCTTCTCTTCTGGAAAAATATGGTTTAAACAACTTATCCCTCAAAACTTTCTTTCTGCCGTGAGCTTAAAAAGAATCTTCTAAACTTAACCCAGAGAATCAATATCCACCCATTTCCACTACATTCATCGCTCAATACATTTATAATGATGATGATGATGATAATGAGGAATTCATTATGAGAAAAAAAAAAGAAAAAAAAAAAAAGAAAAAAAAACAGAATAGCCCTGAATGGCCTTCATCAGCTTTATAAGGAACAGGCAGGCGAATATAACAACATGCTTGTTCCCACTGAAGCAGTACACTAAAGGGTGGGGGGCTTCAGTCTGTTTGTTTGTACCGTCTGTAAATTATGATAAAATGGTCTGTGCTTCACAGAGTATGGCTACGCACTATGTATAATCACCCTCCTAAACTCCTCTAACAATTGTTTCATTATGTGCTCTGTTCCCACAATTAGCTCAGAGTAGTGTTTCCTTCCCACCAAAATAACCTTTCTGGGATAACGCAGCTGCATTTGTGACTAACTCTGTTGCAGCCTACATCTCCTCTCCTTTTTTCCCCCTTTTAATCTACTCCATCTCCCTCTCTCTCTGTGACCATGCCACTCCCTGAGGATAGGTTTTCTGGTGCCAAAAATATTTGAAAGGGCTGAATCATTGGACAGGAGGGTGGAGATAAGAAGGTAGGGGGAAAGGAAATCACAGGGGTGGGAGGGATCTTCTTTTGGGTACTTAGTGAATCAAATCTAGGTAGCTGGGGAAGATGAAGTCATGTTGAATGCTCTCTGCTTTTTAGACGTCTAGGGTATAATACTGACAGTTACGTCTAATCCTGAGCACGTCCACGCCTAGTAGCAAACCGCTGAGAATAGGTTTGGATAATTACCATCACATCTGAGTAAACCATTAAAAGGATGTTTTAATTTTGTCAGCTGTTTAAACATAACCATGATGCTGGCATTGTTGAGTGGGCAACTGTGACTCAAGAGCAGTCATCTTTTCATCTAAAAGTTGTAGGTCTTGTTGTTTTATGAATGTCCGCAGATTTAAACTACTAAAGGGTTTAAATTTGAGGCAACTGAACCACCGCTCAGTTTTTCTGAAAATGTTTCGAAACCTATCCAAGAGTCTTTGTCGATTCTTTAAACCAAAGAAACCAAAGGGCAACATGCAACAATTCTCAGTCATCCTGGTCATTGCAACTACAAAACAGGATTAAATAATCATATCTGAGGGTGCGACTAGGTGATAGTGTACAGTGAGTGGTGAGTATAACCAGAGAAGTTATTTATAAATTCAGCCCATATAAATATATGGGTTTGGCACCAGAGGAGCCTGATAAAGGAGAGGTTGGTTCTATTATAGGAATCTAACAATGGGTTGTAAGCATAACTGGGTAAAACTGTCTTGTCAGGTTCAACAACTATATAAAAGTGCAACAAACAATAGTCCTTAACCTGAAAAACCTCAATTTGATGTGGGTAACATTAATGCAGAATTGGAAGCCACCCACTGGCTTCCAATTCTGTATTGAAACAACATGCCTCCTGAAATGTTAGCAAATGCCCTCTTTCCTAGGTTTCAAGAATGATTGCATGCTTTCTGATTATTGTTGGGTCCGTGTGACTCAATGGAGGAGTTAAAGATGGCCTTTGGTGATGTGTGATGGATGGCATCATTAACTGGCGAGGATCTGGTTGGCTGAACTGCCATTTACGGGGAATATGGCCTGGAAGCAGAACTGATAGTTTATTGTTAAGAGCTAAACTGCAAAATGCAACTTCTCCAATGTTTTTTGTTTAACTTTAATAAACTGGACAATAGGATGAATTACATTTGCAAGTACATACAAGTAATACATCAAAATTCCATGCTATCTCCCCAGCACCATGTCTATATTCAGATGGATGCATTAGGCAGTTGGCTAACAACTTTTACTCAAGATACCAACGTTTTGGGTCTGCTGCATGCTATTAAAGGGAAACTGGCTGATTGAGGCAGTCAGAATATTTTTCAGCTTCATCAGCCTAAACCAGTGTCAGCAAGTTGTAAACTCACAATCTGATCTTTAAACACAACAGGAACAGTCCCATTTAGCGTTGGCAACACTGAAAAGAATCTTAAACATCTTGGCAGACAAAAAATACTATGTAACAAGCTAAAAGGAAGCACATTTCTATATCATTACATAAGAAGCTGGCTTGAAGATTAAATTTATGAATAAAATCTCAGAAGAACACAAGTTAAGAAATTGATTGTAGTAAATATATTTGTGCCAGCTAGAAAGACAGTAGAAGAATCTAAAGATGTGAACTCGTTAATAATGTTGTCCTTAATTTAAAAGGAATGCTCTCACATATGCAGGGTGGGAAATGCCACTATCATCAAATACCAAATACAGAAAAGCTAAAAAAGATCGTTTTCCTTCATCAATATTATTGTTCCTCAAAACTGAATTCCTTAGACAGCAAAGTGCTAGAAAATAAATCTGTATTAGCAAAAACTGGTCCTCTCATATCAACAAAAACCCAGAAAACACAAAAGAACCGTAATACTCTGGAAGGCGTATCTCTCCTCAATGCTGTGGTGAAGGTCTGATTTAAAACCCGCTCAGGCATTAAAATATATTACAGATGTTGCTTCCCTTTCAACATCTGTGTGACTGCCAAGATCTAAAGTTAAAGTTACTTTTATTAATATCTTTTGGACATAAACACAATTGGTAACCTGTAGTCTTATGAATTTATGTATTTAATGGTTAATACCTAGTTACATTTTAAGCATGTGTAACTAAACCTAAAAATAATTATTTGATGTAAATATGACAAAAAAATTAAATTAAAAAGCGGTTTAATTTAAAGCCTTACTAACATTCATTTAGTAGCAGAGAAGACAAGGCGGACAAGAAGGGTTTTATGAAGATGGAGAGCTTTGCTTTCTGACTGAAAAAAAAATCCCTATACTTGAAGTTATGGAGTGTAGCAGATATGCAACAACATACAAAGTGAGACAAGAACAAAGGGAGTAGCCGCTACAGTACCATCCTCTGAGACAATCAGCTACCTCCGAGGGCCCCATGTATGTTTGTTCGTGTTAATTCACAGCTCAGTGCAGGAGGGAGAGACGGTGTGAGGGGAGTGTGACTGCGTTCACCTTTGGCGCCCAGAAATGTTTTCATGGCAATGAAGGAGGGAAGAAAAAGAGACACTTGGCCTATCTGGTAGTACTCCCCCACAAAACCAGTAGGAGACATCTCTGAAGATACTGCCGCCCAATACTGTTTAGAGGTTTTAAACACAAGGGCCAGAGTGGAAAAGACAGACACTCTTATCCACTCAACACAATGAGGCTCCAAACTCCCAAAAGAGTTGTTGTTTTTCTTTTTTATCGGACTAAAGAGAGGACAGAGCGCAGGTCCCATCTGGACTTCATCACCGAGGGCAGAAACTGGCATCAAATCAAGTTGCTCATTATTCTCATGCCCTGCAGGTTTGATTGCAGAACATCTAGAAAACCGCACCCTTCTTATTCTGAAAAGAAACCAAATGAATAAAAAATAAAGCTTCTGAATATAAATGTTTTCTTAGCAACCTTTTTGAACTATTGTTTATCTTCCTGACGTTTAATTGCATAGAATGAAGCAAATACCCAGGTAATAATTTCTTTGTCATCAGTTTGCCTTTTGTGTGCATTTTCCTGGCCCCTGATGACGTTCTTACAGAGGTTAGAGGTTTGTATGTTTCTCTGACTCTGCTACCTTTTGTTAATTTCCTTTCACATTTCATAGAGAAGCTGCTGCAGACTGAGGACGTCAGCACTAAAACAGCCTCCGTCTCCTATTCCTAAAACAGATGTTTCTGTCTGTGGAAATTTTTTAAGCATGACTGTGCAGTTTTTCTTTCCCAAAGTGAGACTGAGCTGGAATTAAAATACCATGTATGTGTCATACGTTAATGTTTCCCTGTTACTGGTGTGTGTGTCTCATATTTGGAGTATGAGGACACATCTGAGACGCTTTTAAGAGTGGGAATCCGACTAAACTGACCTCTTCCTCCAGTAGCCAGATGTGATCAGGATGTTTCAAGGCCAGTGAGGCAGACAGAACTCATTAGAAGAGAGAAGAGGGGCAGGGAATGTGTGGTAGGTAAGCTTTTACAGGATTCTAGTGCTTCTTAGTTAAGTTAGCCACTTTGTATTTTTTTTTGTACCATATCCTTTTTAAAATACATTTGGAGAGTTAAATTTTCTTTTCTTTCCAGGTTAAACTCATAAGGCTCAGAGGGTTGAGGAGAAAAGGGGGTGTTCCACAGCAAGGGGGTGAGGCGTGAGAGGGGGATTTTAAGTAGCTAAAGCTTGACACCCCACCAAAGATGGGTAAACGCCAAGGGGGCGACGAGTCAGACAGTTTACCAACATACAAGGGCGGGTGGGGCACGTCTCCTGCTCCCTCTCCCTTCAACATGACCCTCTGAAATATATAGGCTTCCACTATTAATACTGCAACCAGGGGGCCCTACCCTACACTTCCTTCAGGCGTCTGATGCCGACTATTTCTCATGGGTTTTTTTCTTTGTCTTTAAGGCAAATAAAAAAAAACCTAAGAAATTGAGAGATAGTCCTATTAAGAGGGAAGAGATTGAGTTGACATATAAAGCAACAAAAAAAAAAAAAAAAAAAGCTCAAGTATAAGAGGGCAGCGTTAGGGACATATGTGCAGTGTACATTACAGTTCACACCCCCCTAGCCTTCCTCCTTTCCCGCTTGCGTATGAAAACTACTTTGGGACTCTTCCAAAGGATATTCCCTTTCTTCTCTTTAGCAGTGCCAAGAGTTTACAGACATGAGGCAGCTGAGCTCCCGCTATTACATCATTTTCTTTCCTCTCGTGGCAGAAAATCAAACTCTTCCTGTTGTCTGGACTCAGCAGCAGCAGAAGATAACATGAATGTAGCTCAGGAATATAACAAAGGAAGGAGAGGCTTAAACAAAAAGAAACAACTGTATTTGTCACTGAAATTATTGCTTAGCAACAAAAGAAAAACATTAAAATTAGCAATACAGAATAGGTACCAGATGTCATTTTCGGGTTAATTTTGTTTAATAAAAAAAAATGTAAATATTATAAAATGTAAATATAAAAATGAGCATCAGTGTGTCAGTATAAAGCTACAATTCAAGCCCCGTTCGTTTCCATTTCATCCCATTCTTATTGTTAGATCAGCTTAGGTTGGAGCAGACAAAGAGTGGTGTATGCAGGGCACATGGAGACTGGGGCACACAGGGGGGACAGAGTGTGCTAACGGCAGGACTGTGATAAAGAGTAGACTTACTTGCACGTGTGAAAGAGCAGAGAGGGCCGGCCAGGGCCAGCAGGAGCAGCAGCTGAACTTTCATTGTGGTGGGAAATTCTTCTACGCACTTTTCTCCTGCCAAAAACTGTTGAAGAACCAAGTCAGAGACCTCGCACACTCCAGGGATGTACACTAAAAGGAAGCTCCTCACAAAAAATAATGTGAAAAAAAATACAATACAAAAAAGGTAAAAAAAAAAAAAAAAAAAAAGATAAATTCTGAGGGTAGGTTTTAGGCAAAATGAGTAAAAGTCTGTTGAGGTGGATAGGATGTGGAGAGGACAGGAAAGGAGCTCAGGCCACTTTGAGGAAGTGTAAGAAGGGAGAGGGAGGGAATGGCATACAGCATGAGTGAGAAAAGATGGTGAATAACTGAGCAGGGAGGAGGTGGGTGGTTGGGTTGGTGGTAGGGCGGGCGGTTTGAGGAGCAGGTTGTGCTGGGAGGAGGCTCCTCTGAATAAAGATTGTAAGGTGGCTAATGTGGTCCAGCCCTGTACGTGGCTCTGCACCCTGCTCTAGATGCAAGGCCAGGCCTACTGCGCTATCAGTAACTCACACACACTCCCGCACACAAACTTTTAACAGTTTATATAGAGTAATAGATAGCTGAGGTAGTTATCAAGACATCACAGAAAACTTCTAGTTATGAAATAAAAAGTGAAAAGCTACAACAGTTATAGTCTAGACTGTTTTTGGAATAAGAGGAAAAACTAATGACACAAATTCAGGCATTCGCAGAGTTTCACCTCATGTCTTCATGTTTAATCCTTAGATAATACTCTACATATACAGTATAGTAATTATGCCAATTTCAAAGTAGCTTCATAAATACTTTAAATCATTACTCGTTTTCTTTAGAGGACACATTAGCAGCGGGAGCTGGAGGATTTTACTAAATAAAAGCGAGCCTCTAAAGCAGTCCTTACACTTTGGGACTTTTACACAAGCAAACATGGGTGGTCTGCTGAGTTTACAAGCAGTTGAGGACAAACTGTTGCTTGGCACTTGGCTGACACCTATTGGAGAACAAGTTGCAAGTGTGGATGAAAGCCAGGTGAAAAACATTTTCTTAAAAAAAAAAACATGATACTTGGTTTTCGCTTAAGTTCTGTTTTACAACAGGCAAAACAATCACAGCCAAAATAAAAGCAATCATGAACACCACCTGTGTAACAGTGGACACAACTCTGTGTCTTTTTCACATTTTCTGAATTTCTTTATATTTGTTAGAAACCTACCTGTCAGGCAGCTTTTATATGAGTTATTTCTTAATCCTACAGGCATGGCAGTTATGGTACCAGGGTAAAACTGAACCAAAAAGTGTTGTTAGTGACAATTAAGACATGATTTAATAAATCATAATTTTAATGATTTAATTTGGTGTCAGTCAGATATTCATTTTGGCGATCTGAAACCTCTTTTTCAAGGCACTTTAGAAAAATGTCCCCATATAGCTTTCTAACTCCAATTCAATTAATATTTATCTATACCTGTGGGGGATTTAGAGTTCACTTTGTCTAAGATGATTGCCTCTAAAAAGGAATCTAGGAAACATTTCCCAGGGTTAAGGAGCTCTGACTTTGAAAATGCCACAAAATCTGTTTTTATTTATACATTTGTATAAAAATTCTTCTACATGATTAATGGAAAATATTAATATGAAATTAAACAAAATGGTTTGGGAAGGCCTCTTTACCATCACCCAAATCTGATGCAGGCCTCCAGTTAAGACACACACACACACCCACAGTGACAGCTGATGAAATAACGTTAGCAGACGCAGGCTTAGCGCAGTAAAAATGGCTTGTGACATTTTAATAAACACTTAACATATTTTAACCGCCATACACATATTTATGACACACATTATGCCAGTCCAAGTTTTTTTTTTCATTGCTGTTGTTGTTTGTTTTTCTAGATCACTTTTTTTACGATATACTGAAATTATGTACATGATGCAAATCCAGAAGGACAAGTAACAAAATACTGTCTCCATTTGCAGCCTTTTTCTTATCAGTCTGTGTTTTTCAAGGGCAAACAGAGGATTTACCACAGTTATTTACAAAGACAACAACATACAAACAAAGAGGATATACATATGCTGGTCATTTTAACACAGCACTGAATGGCAATGAGGAGTATTTCTCTTTTTATTTATCCCTACCATGATAGCTTTGTGACCAACTCATTAATAACCAAGCACCTCTTAAGTAACACTTTGAGTTTTGATATTTCAGTGATGGAAATATGAGAGCTCAAAATGTAACTAGAAATAACTTCTTTGTTTTTGTCTTGTATTTTTATTTTTTTTTGTCTTTAGCCTAAAGAAGCTGTACAATAGTGGAAATCAGAGACAATACTTAACTGTACATAGACAAACTGAACATCACAATTAACAAACCAGAGCATTTGTCCATTTTTTGTTCTGCAAAAAGAAAAGAAAAAACATTGTATTTGTTTTATTAACAAGATTCAGCTTAGTGTTGTGCAAAACCTGCTCTTTGTTTTTCCAATTTGAGTCTCATCATTTATTGTTCAACTTTCTCATTCTGCTCAGAAATTCTATGCACTTTTGCCACAGTTATAAAGATGCTTAGCTTAGGACGCTATACATCAGAAAACTGGGTATAAATCTAAAGAAAGTTAAATTCTGGCCTGGAACCCATTTATTAAAGAAAAACATATAATGCCTTCTGAAAGCTAAAAGGAATCTGAACATGCATGGCAAACCGAAGCCGGCCCCATTGAGACATGGTGTTCTCAGCCATCCTGGGTGAACCGGACTCTTTCAGGTGGCTCTGACTAAAAGTCTGGGTCAATATACATGAAACTAAGGCTTACTGAAAGGGACATTTACTGTTAAAAATAAATATATGTAGAAAAATTTGTTTTCATTAGTTGATTGACTTGACATCTGCTTACAAACCTTTGGATGGTATTGAAAAAAAAAATCACAATGTAAGCCTGTGGTATCAGTCAATATTTAAAATTATTCATTTATGTTTTGTTTACCTACTTCAAATAAGGTAACATTGTTAAAAAAAAAATAACAATAACAATAAAAACGGCAGAATGTCGGGCTATGATGATAAAACCTGTATGAGCGACGTTTAAGCAAATATTAAAATTCAGCTGCAATAGCCACTGTTCAGATAGGTTGGAGACAAATATTTGTGAACTAAAAAACATGGAAATGTAAAACAAAATGCATTGTAACAAAAAAAAATAACAACTATGGGCCCAGCTTATACTGTCTATCAGCAAAAAGTTGATTTTAGGGTGAGTGACAAAGATCCCTCTCTCTGTATGCTCAGACCTTATAAAAAGGGGATAAAAGATGAAGTGCTGTATCAATTGCAAAAGATGGTTGCAAACAAAGCTGCAAGGGTACAAACACACGTGGCACATGAGATTTTGCAAGACAGAATTCCCTTTTTTAAGTATGACATTACCTTTACAGGCGATACTGACAAGCATGGAGGAAGGTGTCACACCTCACTATTTACACGCAGAGTGTTTGATTAGAATGACAATGTGTGAGAAACAGCAGACAGTCTGTGAAAGCATTATTATGTGCTTAGAAATGAAGATAATACAGCTTCTGCTGACAGTAAACTTTACCAGATCACACATTGCATCTGACAGATCTCTTAATATTAAGGTCTTTGTGCGCTTACAGACTACTTTTTTATGCCCAAAGATGATCAAAAAAATGTTTATATCAGGCACAGACATAATAAAGGTCTCAAAAGATTTGCATTCTGACAATAGTTTTTTTTGGTCTGCTTCTCTTTGCAGAATTGTTTAGTAACATTTGCAGGTATTTAAGTGGAAACAGCATAGCTCTATTATTTATGGCAAGATGCTCAAAAAGCAAATGCCCCCCCCCCCCCCCCCCCCCACACACCTTCTTTAAAAGTAGGGATGTTCTATGTCATCCATTATAGTAACTGCTTATTCCCTAATGGGGTCACTGGTGGGACTGGAGCCTATCCCAGCAGTCAATGGATGACAGGTAAGGGAACACCCTGGACAGTCCGCCAGTCCATCGGAAGGATGAACAAAACACACTCACTCTTAAGGGCAATTTGGAATGTCCAATCAACCTAACATGTAGGTGTTTGGACTCTGGGTGAAAGCCGGAGAACCGGGAGAAAACCCACGCAGACACAGGGTTACCCCAGGACTCAAACACAGAACCATCTTGCAATGATGCAAACCACTCCCCCACTGTGCCACCCAGTAGGGATGTTTATTTTCTGTAATGTTAAATCTAACCTAAATATAATGGAAAGGATGCCTTGCAGTATTTTCTTCCTGGTCAATTCAGTCAACAGAATTAGTGATCGTCAAGATGTTTTACTTGGCACATCAGAAGGGGTTATTTTTGCCTTGAATCTCACACATGCATGCTATTTTAACATCTTTTTCTTATCTTTGAATCATAAACACTGACCAAAACCAGAACATGCAAGGTTTTACATGTTGTTCAGAATTCTTCGATTTGATTTCTATGTAAATTTTGCAGTTCACTTAATTATTTAACCAAAGGAGCAATTTCTTTTGAGCAAAAGATGGTTTAACAAAACGAGTTTTAATCATAGGGGGAAAAAAGCCCACACATCTATTAGAAAATGTTGATTTGAAGCATGGTTTGTCATGTTTAATCATCTGATTATATACTTTACTAACAAGACTTAAAAGGAAAACATTTTGACCAAATCAGCCAGGACATGTGTTAGTAATGTACCAGGTCTTATTAGGGCCATATCTTAAAAAAAAACTTTTCAAATGTGGAGATGCACGTTCATTTTATCCTATTTAATAAACATTTAGCATAGCAGGTAATGGCATAAAATACATTTTGTAAAGACCAGAAAGCACTGTGAGTCATTAGTCCTCTTTTTAGGAGAGTAAAAATAAAGGTTTTCCTGTTTTGACCAGTAGATGGTGCTCCACTCTAACATATTTTTCTTTTTCCATATTGTTTTCAGATCCACATCAGCAAAGAAAGAGCAAAAAAAAAAAAAAGGTTTAGAGCAAGAAAAAGTTACAATCTTTGAAAATCCTTGTTGTGTTTGCAGGAAATGTGTTTTGCACTCAATAACCTTCAAATTAACTTTTTTTTTTTTTTTTTACAAGAAGTCTAACCTTTAAAATGACAACCTATAGCGCAAAAAATATCTGAGAAACATGAGAATTCACAGAGGATTGACAACACTTTGGCGACTTGTGGCTCTTCAAACATCGTGTTTACATCTTGGCACTGCCAAGCACATAAAAGTCCGTCCTGTTGTTTTGTGTTTTTTTTCTATAATGATTGTCTTTGGACCCCTCAGCCACTTGTATTAGAAAAAAAAAGGCCAACAAAATTTTAGAAAAGTACTTTCCAGTTTTTTTTTTCTTTTTGGATTGTCTTCCGTTTCTTCACTTCGGTGAACAGAGGAGGTTGTCCACTACAAAACCCACAACATTTCTTCTGTTTTGACTCACAGTTCATTTTAGACAATGGAGTCCCAGTCGAAGTCATCCTGGATATCGTCAGCGGCGAGCATGCGTCTCACCTGAAAGTGTCCAGGAGGCAGAGCGTGTTGCTGCTGGCTCAGCTGCCTGTGATGACCTATAGCAGAGAAGAAAAAACGCACAAAGATCTAAGTGCAACTTGTGTATTAGTGGAAATGTGGTTTAAATACGCCACATGAAGCTGTTTACATATAAGGGGATTACAGTGTGGTTAGTAAAGCTCTTAATAACACATCAGCGTCTCACACACGCAGAAACAGTGTCTCCATAAAATGCACATTACGCTATGAAGCACATTATGTACTTTCTGCATTTTCTTAGACCTTATACAGACTGGAACTGGTATTTTTAGCACTACCTGAATGGTTTTGGCAAAAAGAGGAAAAAAAATGCCTTAAAAGCCTAATAAGATCTTTATCCATAAGTTTTATTGACTATAGCCTAATATTCCTTTTTGCTAGTAAATACTCTCAACATATTACCCCATGTTTCCCTTTCCTTCTTGTTCTTGGAGACACATTTTTTTTCCATGTACTTAACCCATGAAAGATTGATTTGGCTGATTTTGTTAGGTCTGACTCATAAAACTAACAAGAAAGCATCAAGAATGTGATAAAAAGAAGTGTATTTTAACTTATTTACATATGTTTTAAAAAAGCCAACACTTTAGAAAACATCATAACACCTTTAACAAGTTTCTTGATTAGAGTCACCTGTCATGCTGGGAGCCGTGTTGCTCATTGGAGGCATGTGAGGGTATCCTGGTGGGACCATCAAAGAAGAAATGTTCTGTCTCGAATCCATGTACATGTTGACTGTGAGAGTACAGATAAAAGGGCAATGACTAACTGTTGGATTAGTGTACAAACTTTCACACATCCATTTTTGCAGAACACAAGCTGTTACCCAGCATTTTGCATACACAACTGCATAGCTTTCTTATGCTGGTACCCAAATGCCTGATGAAATGTTTTCCCCAAATCCACATCCTCAATAGATTTAAAGTTAGCACATGCAGAGATCCCCCTGAATTTTACACCAAATGCATAGTGTTAGAGGTAGAAATGAAATAGGAGGGTATCTGAGTGCTGAATAATTAAAGGTTAATTTTAAATAAGGTTTAAAGGTGAAAAATCTCTTTAAATCTTAAACTGAATATACCTAGTTGTCTGCTGCTGAGGGATATGGAAATATGCTTCAATAAGCTGAAACATTCGAATGAATGTCCTGGACATTCAAATTAAAACATATATGGCTTTTAAAGCATTGTTCAGCCTATTTATAGAGCACCTTTTTCCAGAAAATCTTATTAGTTCAATATATCAAAAAAGATAAAACATACAGTACAAGTGTCACCAAGGTTTAGAGCTACTTCATTAGTATTGAGTCATATTAAGGGCTACAAATACTGACCTATGAAGTGAAGAGGGTCAGGGTTCACATAAAAAATATGCATAATAAACATATTTTTATTGTTTCTTTTAATTTCTAATTTTCTTTTAGATATTGTAATTTTGAAATGCTTAAATGCCCTATATAAGCAATATGATTAAATGATTAAAAAAGAAGAACAAAAGAATGATATAAAATTTCATATTTAGCCCAATGGTGAGTTGTTCTGTTTTTTGCTGAGGGCATCCCATGTGGACCTTGTCCATGTTAGTGTCCTCTGCTATAGCATTTTGCATCCATAAGCCAAAGTTATGGTGCTGTTTTAGGTGTTTCTGTTTTTTTCTGATAGCCATGGCTTTCAGATGTATTTATTTATTGTAGAAATAAAAAAAGAGCCTATTTTGTTGTCTGCTTATCCATGTGTCTCATGTTTTTTCGGTCATAATAATAATGACTGCAAAGAAAAATGGCAAAAAGCAACAAAAGTTATATGACATTGGAAATAGTGCTAGTTATAAGAGCTCTAACTCTTTAAAATTCACATTTTACCTTGACCTTCCAAATTTCTCTTTTTTCCTTCAACTGATCAGAAAGATCAAAGTTGAGCTTTAAATTGACGCTTTATTCCCTGTTGTTTAGAAAAAAGAGGACTGCGTTGACCCACCTGTCCCAATGTGTTGGTTGTGTTGCCCATGGTGATTGTGGTGGCCGGGCTTCGGGTGCATTGGAGTAGGATGTTGTGTCGCTGACGGTACTGCTGGGTGTTGGACCTGAGCTTGTGGGTGAGTTGCACTCTGAGGGGGGATGACCCCTGTGGCTGTGAAGAACTGGTTAATTGAAGAACACAGGTCTGCCATCTGAGTGGCATCAAGGGTCCAGTTGTTGAGCTCAGCCTGCCTCATACTCTCCTTCAGACCTGTTAGAAGACAAAAAAATAGACTGTGATGAACTGAACATAGGAGTGCCACAGGACTGTGTGCTCAGCATAACACCGTTCACCTTTTTAAAGACAAAAATGCAGCTCCATCCAACAATAGAATAGGGGACTTCCATTTTGCTTAATTTTATAGTGAGAATCATTGGCAAAAAGACTGGGACCCCTTATAAGTCTACCACCTAAAAGGATTTCTAGACCACAATACTTTCCTAAACACAAAAGAACAGCTGAGGTTTATCAAAGGGGTAGGTGGAAACACTCTTCTACCAAACTCACATTAATCAACTTAACTGTTGACCCCACTTAGACTTGGCATTCAAGACTAAAATTGAGATGTACAAACAAATTTGTTCAGAAACAAATTAGAGTGCTTTCTCTGGCAAAGCAGCAACATTTGGTACATTTGGTACTAATTGACAGACCTAATGATAACAAAAGGAATTTCCTCCAGGTAAATAAAACTGACCCAAACTATCCAGGAGTCATCCTTCCCTTAATCATATATGATTCAATCAGCAGGACAAAAAGATGAACTTGATCATTTTAGGGCAGATTACCTCTGTTATATTCATGTGGGTCATTCTTTAATCAGGGAAACATATAGGGATCTAAAAGCTTACAGTATACAGGATAAATAGAATTTTTTTTGTATAGTAAACTATGTTCTTCACCTGAACATGTAAAAAAAAAAAAACATACAGTGGCCGTTAAAGTGTAAGTATTTTCCTTCAATTCATACTTTGCTGTAATCAAGACTAACACGTTATTATTTAAAATGTTTCCTACCAGAAAGTTTCCAAAGGCTTTCAGCCACCATTTATAAAAAAGCACACTTTACTTAGTAGGACTGAATCCCACATTTGATTTCTGGAGTATTCATTCACTTCCTCCATTTACTCTCTCCATCAGCCTGGTTAATTGATGGTCGCCTTGCATTCATGATCTGGTACATTGTGGCTTCTTGGCGTTGGGCATAGATTCCTGTACCTCATTGACTGCAAAGGTCATGGTCTAAAATCGCTTCTTTGCTTCCTGATTTTTACCTTGAATACTTCTATCATCTTCTCCTACCACTCCTGGATGTCTGTCAGCTAGAGTCCATTGAGAGAGGATTTCCTATACCCGCAGAGCTATGTCCAGGTTGAGGTGTCTTTTGTCTGTCTCTCTTACTTCTTTCTTGCAGGATGTAATAACCAGGTGTGGCTCCAAATTCTTCAAAACAAATCATAGCAAGCTTAAGGAAGAAAGGTAGAAGTCTGATTTTTAGCTCACTTAGCATGGTAAACAGGTCTACCTTCTCATAATTTTATTTTACTCCTTGTATGTCCTCAAATTAGTTTGTCTTTCCAATCTCCATATGACCGAGTTCCATGCTCGCCCCAAAGTTGCCACATTCTGGTGCTCTGCTTCCTGTTCCTTGGCTGATAGGAAGAATCACTGCTGTCCATCTCTTTACTATTTCTCGGATGAACCTGCTTAAACTAGCCAATCTATGAGTTACTTGACAGAGGCTCACCTGCCTGTCCGCCCTCCAAAGCCCCAATGCCACTTTAAAGTGGAAAGGCGGGAAAGAGACTTAGCCATTAAAGTCAAACACCTGACAATCCCAGAGTCTGCAAGTTTGGTCATCTCCTCCAGGACTTCTTCATTGACCACAAAGAGTATAATTTCATTTCCATCTTCTCAGTCAATATCCAACATTTCCTGCTAAGAGAATAAATCTCCTCACCCTTTCTACCAAATATTAATGTAAAACCTCACAGGGAACCCAAAATATCCATGTTTTCTGCAGTCATTTTCAACTTTAATGCTCTGTCCATAATTGCAACTTAAACTACAGTCATCTCGAAGCAAACTGACAGAGTTGCCACCTTCTATCACCAGACTATTGGCAGGTGCTCACACCGCAGAACAAGAGCAAAACTTGAAGCTCTGTTTCAAAAATATATACACAGCAAATAAATACAGTGTACTACTCCCCCCCAGTCAAATGTAAGAACCCTGTGGTGACAGAAAAAACAGAGTCTTTGTGCTGTATTCTCAGAAGCATGCCACAGACAGTGAAGGATTGTGCTATGGCAGTGTGAGGGAGGTCAAGCGTTACAGAAACAGAGAGCCAGTAGCAGCCTGTGTGTTGTAGGACGGGCCTTTTTCATCAGTCCTGTATAGATGTTTGTTGGCTTTGTGCACTGACCGTGATAACAGGCTGTTACTGAGCTGGGACCTAATTGGATTATTCACATTATACAATTGAGAGGGGTTAGGGTGGGTGTGAGACAGCGTATGAGTGCATGTCTAGTGCGTGAGCTATGGCAAAAACAAGTGGCAACCTCACTGATGCAGGATAATGAGTTTTATTAAGCCAGTGTTATAACTAGGCTGGTTATTATTATACTGGGCCTGAAGGGTGAAGGTAAATAAGACGGAAACATAATGATCTAATCAAAGGAGCTGATTGAAATATTTAGGATAAGGAAATTATTTACTCTTCAAAGTCCCATTCATCTTGGATATGTTGATTTGTTTCCATGTTACCTTGAAACGGAGAGAGATCGACATCAGCCCAGTTATAGCTAGTTGCGATGCGGCAGCTCTCTTTCAGCCAGTCCAGGTTCGGGTACCAGTCGGACGACATTCCTGACACACAGTCAGCAAAGAGAGAAAAACAATTAGGCTACCTTTAACAACATTTATGATCAATGGACAAAACCTCATGTACAGCATTTATAATGCTCCATCTCTAAGCTTAGAGTTTATGAGAAGCAGTAGAAAAAACATATCTCTTCTGCATTTGACATGTCCATCAAAAATATAACTTCAATGTCCCAAACACATTTAAGTAATACCTCAGTGACACATGGCCACATGTCAACATAGAAGACAGGCTGAAAGGCATTAATGGAAAATAGCTACAAAAAAATTGACACTAAAATGAACTGTAATTAAAATATATAGATAATAACAGTCATCTTTTCTTTTCAAAAGTTGTTTTTAAGCAAAGGTTTCCCCTAATTCTGTCATAGTTGAGGTAATGATTAACTATACGGCATGAAGTTAAAGACAAATTCATATGCAGAAGTTTTAAGGAAAATAAATGCTGTAAATGTAAACCTCCTGTGGACGTGCACAATTTATCTCTGTTTTTCAAAGTGCTTTTCTATAAGTGATGCAAGTAATAACAGATTATGGTCAAAACCAGCAGTCAGGATTCTTACGTGTTTTCATAAAAACATAAGATACTGGGAAAAACTGAAACTGTTCATTTCTACAGTGGTGAGGGCTGATGGATGGATGGATGGATGGATGGATGGATGGATGGATGGATGGATGGATGGATGGATGGATGGATGGATGGATGGATGGATGGATGGATGGATGGATGGATGGATGGATGGATTTTCTAAAAAAAACTGTATTTGATAAATTTCCAGTGATGTAGAAAATCTTAAAATTGGAGCCAAAATAACAGTTTAACAAATTTCTGCTGCACCAATAAATATGCTCCAATCAATATTGTAAACAGCCACAAGGTGGTATGAGTTAGCACATAAAGGTTTTAGCACAATATATGAAAATGAGATTAGAAAAGGAGCCTATTTTCACTGTGGTCATACTCCAATAAAATACTAGTATATTTAATTACTATATCAATATTAACAGAGTGGATGCTTTCATTCATCTGCAGCTGGTACAAAGAAAACAAACTTGAAAGATAAAACAACTTCTGAAAGATCTTACTGCTGTCCTGAAAGCTCTGTGCAGACAGACAAAGAAAAAGAAACAACCAGAGATGAAGTATGAGCAAGGAAATCCTTGAGAATAAATTGTTTGTGCAAGCCCAGCTACACAATATGAAATGCAGTACTATGGGGACCCCATAAGAAAGAATATATATCATAAACGCAATAATTCTGTGTGGAGACTTTTGTTTTTGTCGGTTGAATTGCTTTACAACAGTGTGGCTTTGGTTAAGTAGAAAATATCTTTGTGTTCAAAAAGTGAAAGAGAAAACTATAGTTAAGATGTTTTTCCAAATACTACCAACGGAATGGATTCAATAGTGCCTTTCAAAATTAATATATTGCACTCTTTTTACATTGGACCTCTAAAATTAGAACATTTTATGCATTTTACTGGAATGTTATACATATGAAGCTTAAGCATAGTACTTTTTATTTTATTTTTTTCCAGGGTGTTATTTTCATTACAATGACACAAGTACAGAGCAACGAAATTAACCCTCTACATTTAACCCATCCCCGGGGGAGCAGTGGGCTGCCATTGTGCAGCGCCCGGAGAGCAATGTGGGGGTTAAGGGTCAAACCACTTTGGCTTGACTTTTAACTGGTTTTAAAAAAAACATGAGCACATTAAACCAATTTTAATGGTATTGTACTGGCCCCCTGTTTCTTAATCCTTTAAAACCTTTTAGTTGTTTTTAAATGTCTTCATGGTCTCTTTTGATGTTTGTTCCATTAGAGAAACTAAGAGGAAGTTGGGAAGCGATCACTCTTTTCAGTTGTTGGTCCAAAACTGTGGAGTGCATCATCTTTTAATCTTAAAATAAATATGATTTAAAATTCTGCATCAAAGCTTACCTGAACTTTGTTGTTTTTAACACAGCCTGACATTGTGACTTTTGAATTTCTGTGTCTATCTTTGTCTTTTTATTTTATAATTAGTATTTTACTGTTGTGTCCTGCACTTTGGTTAACCCTGTCAATTTTTATAGTACTTTATGAATAAAGTCGGAATGGAATGTAATGGAAAGCACAAAACAGTGAAAAGTGGAAAGAAAAGGTTTTCTTGACCAAATGTAAGACGTGGCATGTGTTGGCCTTATAGGTATGTCGTTGTTGTTGTTTTTTTTTTTACCAGTGTTGAAAATCTAGACACATTTCTGCCAATTGTTCTCTTCAAAACAGCTCAAGTTTAGTGTGACTAGATGCAACATGTCTCCACAGATTTATTTTTTTAGTTCAAGTGAAAAACAACAGACTTTTGCAGCTTTGACCATTTTTTTCTTTTTACATGATTACTCTGCATTTGACTCTATGCATCTTGCTCTAACACCTGAATAGCTTTCCTGGCCCAGACTAAGAAAAGCATTCCCCTATCATGATAGTGCTATCAACATTTTTCAATCTGAATTGTATGTTCAGGATGTTATGCAATGTTTTTTGTCACAAGGTTTTTAAAAAAAACTGTTATCATCTGACTAGATGTTCTTCACCACGTGTTCCCTCTGAGGCTTTTAGCAAACTTTAAATAGGACCTCTCATGGCCTTCCATTAACAATGGCTTTAATCTCTCTACTCTGCCATAAAGATCAGATTTGTGCTTTGTACAGACCTCTTCTTTGTGTTCCTCCATGACCCTGGGAAGAAATCCAGAACTGTTGGCTAATTCCTCTGCATTTATATTACAATAATTTAACAAAATTCACAAAGTTCACACAATGCTTTTAATGCAGTACTTATTTGCACTGTAAAGGGATTCATACAACCTAAACTTCTTCATGCTGTCATGTTACATCTATCTGGTGTGTTCTTTGATTTTCATGATGTTGTTCTTTCCCTAATATTCTCTTAAAAATGTCTAAGACCTTCACAGTTCAGCTGTAATCATACTGATGAAATTTGATGATGACGGTTTGCTAATAACGTGAATTTTGATGTAATCCTTATAAAAGCCAATTTCCTGCTTATAAGTACTTTATATATACACAAAACCTTTATAGTCTGACCAGAAATCCCAGTTCAGCTTGGGTAAGAACTCTTAAGCCAAAAAAGAAATATGTCAGTGGTCACCATGATGTAGTGTCAGTAATCTGTCCTGTTTACTTAAATATATTTGGATGCCTGGCTGATTGCTTATTCCTGCTCTGCTCCATATCTTCTCTACTTATTAGAGTGAGCGGATAAACTCACTATAACCGAAGGGCGCACAATCCTGATCATGAAGGATCGCTCAAAGGGTACAGTTTCATCCAACTACCGGCCAATAACCTGCCTTTCAATGGATTCTCATCAGCTTCTGACTCTGGTCATGTTCTGGACGTCTGCCTCTTACCATTTTGCTCAGCCTGCATCCAGTCTGTTCAATTCATCTGCATTGAGAGGTCCCCAATCAATCAATCAATCAATCAATCAATCAATCAATCAATCAATCAATCAATCAGTACAATGGATTCCACCTTCATCTGCCTCCTCCAGCCTGATACAAGTTTTGCTGGTTGCCACATTATTTCATAAGGTTTCACTCCATGCTGGCTGAATATTGGGTTCTCAGAGGTTCTCACATTACAGACAGTGTAGTTTTTTAACGCCATCTTAGAATTAATCTTAAGGCTGGTTTATACTCAGAAACCAGGTCGTCTGCATGTGAACACAAATATGCCCCCGCCTCTTCAGCAGACACTCTGGTGCACCTCTCCAAAATTGTAGGTGACCACAGACAGGAGGCCTCTGATTGGTTAAATCTAAATCCGCTCTACACTATGCATATTTCCTTGTTTTGTTTGTATGATCATCATTGTGGAAAACGACCCGTGAAGTTGGACCACCAAGAGCGAGGTGCGCGAGAACGCTGGGATCCTTTTCCTCACCTCGATTAACCTAATGTCCCTCCATTGTCGCACAAACTCGCCCCTTGCGTTTTTCCACTTCCTAACCACCTCGGGCATATCTAGACCCACAGCTAGTTCCCGATTGTTCCTCTTGCGTTGTGGTGTTGAATAACATAGCACAGACCACGCTTCAAGATTGGGCAAAATTCAAAAATATCTGCAACAAGCTCACTGCGACACACTGCTGCAGGGAGTATAACCAGCCCTTTTGTCTCAGTCTTCAGGAAGTAAAACTATTATTCGTCTTAGTCACACTTTAGTCATTTCGATATGTGATAAATTTAGTCAGTTTTAGTCGACTAAAACTTAAAAAGGTATTAGTTTAGCTGGAATAACAAATAACAAAAATAACAAAGTTTCTAGGAGTTCAGCATACAGTACTGCTGAGCTGAATTCTGACACCTGGACCATTCTGGATTATTTTCATCCTCGCCACTGCTGCCATGATCCATCTGTGGTCATGCAGAATGAGCACCACTGCATGGAAAGTGGTCTGCATGACCAAACAGGACGCAGCAGCTAACATTTTTATTAAGTCTCTTCTCGCCGAAAAACTCACACTCATAACTCTCAATTTTTCCTCAACAAAGATCCACGTTTAGAGAGAGATCTTGTGGTGTTCCTATCTGTCGGTAAGGACCAATACGGTTGCCCGCAATCATTTGTGTGACATGACGTAGCTCACCACACAGAGTTGAACAAAAATACATTATTTCTTCCCGTTTCCTGTCTGTGAAACATGCAAATCTACACAAGTTTATTTTTGATGGGGTTTTATAATGGAGAATTCTAGACAATCACTGCATTTGTGTTGCTTGTGTTTTTGGAGTTATTTTTTGTAAGGCTCCAGTACCTGTTTGATTAACAGTATCCATGTTTGTTTCAATATTATCATGACTTCCGGAAGGTTTAAGACAGTCAGGAGTCTAGGGTTCATTTTCAAACCACAATAGTTCCTTTACTGTTGATCCCAAACAAAGGTGACGGAATACAAGCAAATAGCTAAAATGTGCTGCATTCAACCCATTTCTTTTGGCTTTTACCTTTTTTCGCACTTAGGGCCGGATTTATCAAGATCCAATTTTGCGTGCAGTAATTTGCGCTCGCAAACTGGAATTTTGCGCGAGGGGCTGAACCATAGTTTGTGGGTGATTTAACAAGAGTGATTGCGTAACTGGTGGCAGGTGCAAAACTGTTGGAGACGCCCTATTTAAATGATGGTTTTGCGCATTTTGTGGTTTGCACTAGTTTTCTACAAACTAGTGCATTAAGAAATTTAAATCTTACAGTGACCCCCAACAACAACAACAACAAAAAAAGTAAATATATATATACATACATATATATATATATATATATATATATATATATATATATATATATATATATATATATATATATATAAAGAAAAAACTTTGGCAACCTTTATTCCCTAAGGTGGTATGTGGCTGAAATTCTACTTCACTGCAGTACAAAAAAAAAAACAGGTGTTTTGTAGTGGCCTGTAGAAAAATGCACATACCAAATGGCTCACAAGAAGTGACTGTGGATGAGATTACGCAGCATTGGCATGTTGCTCCACAGGCGCAGGGGGAGAACCCCTACCCCGTCGGACAGCACTTCGAACAGCACTTCTGAAAAACGAGATTGGGAGATCCCAGCTCTCGCTGCAACCGTACGCTGGAATGACCCAGATGCAAAAAAGTGCAACGTTGCAAGGAGTTTTGTGATATCTGGTATTGCATGGGTCCTCCTTGTGGCTGGCTCCAAATCCATTCGGAGTTCCCCCAACAGCTCCAAAATGGCAATGCAGGATAAACGATATGTTTTGATGATCGTTTCCTCGTTCATTGCAAAAATATTCACACGGAGTGAAAAAATGCGTTCTCTGCGTCTCCTTGCTTCATTTCGATGTCTCCTTGCGACAATAACCACTGCCATGTGTGCGCAATTACGCATACAGACCATTTGCACCTTCTTTTGAAACGTGTTAAATATAGAGTCAGATACCGTTAGCAAAATTGTTTTTAGGTTTGATAAATCACTTTGCGAGTGCTAAATTAATATATTTACATGTTCTCCTCCCACAAGACGCACTTTTGCGTGTAAACGCCCCATATTGCATATTCATTGCAGAAAAAGTACTAAATGGATAAGAGGCGCTATTTAGCACGTTTTAAAGACCAAATCCTTTTAGCACCCTGTTGATAGATCAGTTTGTACATTTTTTAGCGTGCGCAGTGAAATAGCTCACGTTTTTATACACGCAAACCTTTGATAGATCCGGCCCTTAGTGTAAACAGTATATACAACATCCAATCATCCCCCAAGTGACGTCTAGAGTGTTTTATTTGTCTATTACAAAAATTGTAAATAACAATGCAATTGTTCTATGAGTTTCATATGGAGAGCATTTATATTAGAGGCAGATCGATGCATCAGCTGGACAATATTATTTTAAACCTGTAGCCGTCAATCTATAAACATAGAATTATATCTTGGATTAAAAAAGCACTGAAGATAAATACCTGAAAACACCTGTCAAATTTTTATTTTCTGAAATAAAAACATCTACATTTGAAAACTGTGTATTCTTTAATCAGTATTTTACAACTCTACTATTTTATTTAAGTATAATGCACAAAAATAAGAAACGCATTATACAGGAGTCCGTATATTATAAAAGATCACTAGATAAATAATTGTCCAATTATTTTTGACATTACTTGTAATATTTCAAGCTATCAATAAAATGGAGAATGCAGTTGAAGGTAGGTCATTTGTCTTTTTGCTGTATCATTATGCCCCTTGGTTCATGTTTACCTGAATAAAACTCAAAGGATCTCTCTGTGTCTAAAGATAAAGTATCGCAAAATGATGGTCAAAACTCTGTAACATGAGATAATATCCTCTTCCCACCCGGTGGGTCTTCTAACAATCTACACTGTCAGCACTGTACCTGTTCTTATAGAACCAAATTAAAGACCTCATCAAAATGGATCTTTTAACACCTCTGAACAGATGGAGGTGGTTGTGCCTTTGTGTTTCATTGGAAAAGCTATGAAAACTACTAGGTGAATAACTATTTGTTATAAACACTGTTGGCAAAGGTTTCACAAAGAAGTGATAATAATGTTAGCCTAGAGAGACTGTTGAAATAGTTAAAATATTGGGAGGTATTTGAAAAATGTGATGCAAACCTTTGTAATAGTATAAAATTATACGAAAAAGAAGAATAATCTCTTTCTGAACTGAACTGAAAAATGCTTTTTCATAAGATATGAGGATTAAAAAGCTCAGGTAAAAGCAAAACTGACATTAACAGTTGCCTAAAACCCTTAAGTAAAAATCAAAATCAGTGAATTGATCTTTAGTTCTGATGGTTGGGCCTCTTTGATGAGTAGCAGTTAGAACCTGTGTCATTTAAATGTGAAATATCTAAAACTTGCTGTGTTTTAAAAATTTGACACCATAATATTAGTTTCTAAAAGGCCCCAAAAGGGAACCAGAAAAAAAAAACATTATTTCAAACATATTTCTAAATTATTTGAGCCAAATAAACCAAATATAAACTCTAAACTGACTACTCAAACATTTTAAAAGTGAAGAAACTGGCTTGTTTTGCAGCTAATCAATATGAATCCTTTCTGTTCCTTGGTCATAGATTAAAATGGTGCACATCTGAAGAAAGTGTTTTTTAAGAATACTTCAACATACTATAAACAATCTAGAGCAAACAGCAGCAAACAGAAATTCCGTTACATTTCAGATAAGAAATTCTTGAATATGTTAATTTTTTTTTTCAATTTACAAAAAACTACGCTAAAATTTCGAAGCACTGCTGTTAAAGAACACAAACGGCTTGGTTGGGTTGGGCTAAATCTCACATGAATCTATGTGAGATGAAAACATGATAGATCAACATTTTACCTTTGGTACCTTTGACAATCGGAAATCTCCACTGTCTGCTGTTGTTTCCAGCTGTCACAATATGAGGTCTCTAACAAGTGTTAACGCAGGAATTTAAAGTTATGTTCTCACCTGGAGTCTGAACTGCATGACTCTGGTGGGAGAGAGAGGGGTGCTGCTGGTGTTGTCCGTGCGACCCTTGAACCTGGTGCCTGTGAGGGGACAGGTGAGGGTGGTGGGACGTCTGGATGTGGTTGTGTTGGTGGTGGTGTCCAACGCTGCCTCCCGCGCTGGGAGAGTGTTGATAAGAACAGGCTGTTCGGGTCTGCTGGCCAGAGTCGTTGGGCATGCTCATCAGACCTGGCACAGAAACAACTATCAGATGGAACTCCACCATCACCATTTATCCTGGTTAAAACATGTATTAGCCTTTTAAATCCCTGGCAGTATCGAGCAAAACAAAAATTTTTATCAATAACCTTTCAATTTACATTCATGCCCTTCCATGTGTCGATCGATCACATTAAATATTCTTAGTAAAATAGTCAGAGGTTTCAGGCTGAATTGGGAAAAAAATACAACAATTTCAAAGGGTATGAATACTTTTTCCCAAAACATTGCACCATTATTATCGGACACCAAAGCTTTTACAGCCAATACCTTTCCTGCCGCAACATCCATTTGAACCCGAGTCCTCGCATACATACACAACTCATAGTATCTAATCACAGGTTACTAAAACTTTAGCTGAACAAGAGGCTAAGTAAATAAACACTAATTCAACTACTAATTGTAAACATTTCCAGCCTTGGATTTTTGTTAAGAAGGGGAAAGTAGTTTTGGCATCATGGGAAAACAATTGTCTTGAGAATTTCACTTTTCAGAGACTATTTTTAATTTTTTAACAGTATTGTACAGAGCAGCGCATAACACCATAATGAGGCCAGGTCAGTGGATCTCTTGATGCTCTTGCTCATAATCTCTGTCTAACACACACAACCTTCCACATCACCTTATTTATTGATTTCGGTGGAGTTCTTGGCTGAGATTCCAACAAATAGTAGCCCCTGAAAACTTCACTTCAACTTTAATAAAGCCTTTCGATAGCCTTGTGTGTCTTTAAATACTTTTTGCATTTGTTACTGTGTAACTATTATTTTTTTAATCTAATTTATTTAACTACTTCTTCTCTTTTAGATGTTTTTTTTTCTTGAGAACATACTGTACATTAGCTTCTAAATTTCTTTCTAGTTTTACTCTTATTCAGAAATGACCACAGAAAAGTAAAGTTTGCTTTTAGTGTTTCCACAAAATCAAACTGTATTTTTCAAGGATAATGGAGTCTGTCTAAAATTGTTGTCTTGTTAAGCAGAAAACAAGAAAAATACTTATTTCTGTTTGTAGCTTCCATGTTTTCTGATACCACTGAATAAAATGACGTTCAACTGCTTATTTCTGAAGTCATTGAAATAATAAATAGAGTTGATTTGGCTTCTGCATCAATCATAAATAAAATAAATTTGGAGCAGTGGCAAAATGCTAATATTAAAAGGAAGGCACATAAATCTAATTCAGGTTGTGGTATAAACCATGTGGAGGAGACCATAACATGTAAAATACTCTCCTGAGATAAAACCACACATTTCATCCACTGCTTAAAATGCAAACAGCAACAGTATGTGTTTTGTGAAAAATCAGCATTGCGCATCACTATAAACAAACAGTCTTCACCCTAAAACATAGCAGTGGCAGCATCTTGCTGCGGGGTTTTCTTTAGCATGGACAGTGAAGATAGTCAGAACTTCAAACCATGAATAGATATATTTTTAAGTTACTTGATACATATGCATTATGTTGGCCTGTTAAATAAAATGCAACATAAAATACCATAATGTTTGTGCTTGTAATGGGACAAAAAGAAAAAGGGTTAGAAATACTGAAAACCTCTGCAGGTCATTGTTAATATTTCACTGGAAAAAGTTTCTTTTTTTTTACTTATTTGTAAGTCCATTCAATTTATAATATATTATTCTTTCTTTTCTCAACAAAAACTCATCTAAATATAACTTCCTTTGTGTTTTGATACAATGTGAGCCTCTTAAAGTCGTAGGGAAACTGCAGTTCCAACCGTTGCATTTCCGAAGTCTCCTGAGTGGTGCCCGACTTTACACTAGTGAATAAAGTGAATGTGATTGGTCGTTTATCAAAGGGGCGGGATTGTTGTGGCGGAAGGTTCGCAATCAAGTTTGGTTGTGGCCGGTTTGTCGGAAGCATATTGCTAACCAGTTAGCAACTTAGTGCTAGTAGGTTTCCAATGGGAAACTCCATTGGGACCAAGTAGCACTAAATTGGTGACTTAACAACGACACTGTCAAGGAACGCTATGGACAGCGGAAACATGCAAGCGGAGGAGAGTTTTGTATCGAACGTCGTGGATGAGTCTCCTCAGTCATACATTTTTTATTTAGAGGAGGAAAGTAAATGATTCTATTTCTTATTTCAACTGTTTCATATATAAGCTGCAACATATGAATCAAGATGCTATGACCGAAAATATTTGATTGACAGATGACCTTTGATATATGATTGGCCGAATTTAGGTGTACAAGCTGACGTATGACTAACTCGCCTGCATAAAATAACGAGAAAAAAAACACAGGATTTTTTTTTTATATAAAAATGTTCTAACTTTTGGGAAAATATCGTCTGATAAAGAGTGCATTTATATACATGTTTAAGCCAGAATGATTTTAGATTTAAAGATGACTTTCTTACGACTTTAAAGCAAAACAACAGAGGTTTTGTTGTTAATCTTATGAATTAAGTACCTTTAATATTTTAAGTTATAGTATGGATCATTTTTGGTCATATTATATTTCACAATATTCTTCAATGACTCTTACTATCATAATTGAAATTCCTGAATCTGTGCGGGAAAAGTAAGTAAGAAAAGTATGGAGAGATATTTGTGCCATCGGTTTGAGCGCGCAGGAACCAATCCGAGCGCGCAGTGAGACAACACGCGCGCGCGCAAAACCGGTCTGGCGCGCGCTCAACTCTGAAAAACCCTCTCAACACACTGTTCTCGCGCTCAGTTTCATCTCTGCGCGTGCTCGAATCCGTCTCTGCTCGCGCTCGCTCGACCTGCTCTCTCTCCGCGCTCAACACCAGCTGTGCGCTCGGCTGTTTCTCCGCTCGCTCGACTCTCTGCGCTCGCAACTTCAGCAATGTATGTAAATGAACCATACCATCAGCCAATCACACTCAGCTTCTTTTCATCCAATGAAAGCATTCCTTCCTTCTTCTTCTTCTTTTCTATCATGGCGGATCGCAAGCAACTTTAAGGTGCATACCGCCACCTACTGTTCATGAGTGTGTAGCAACATTGTTTTACATCTATTAAATTCTATTTTTTAATTTTGCATTCTGAAGATAACTAAATAATGCTTTCCTTAATCTATAAACATCCTTTATATTTCCTTTATTTCCCAATAATCCTTTAAGACTCCATTCTTGGCCTGTCATTTCAACTACTCTTCTCAATTTTTCCCTTTCAGGTTCATATGTTTTACAGTTCATTAATATGTAAGCATTCGTTCCAAATACTACATCCGGTTAGATGAAAAAAAATACATAAATAAATAAAAACACAATCAGGAAAATCAAACAACTCTTACAGTTATTTTGTCAACATTCCTAAGATAGTACTATAAAATATCTTGAATTATCTCAAATAAACTTCAGTAAAACAGTTATTAGATCATTGCCTCATCCATCTCTTTTACCTGCTATTGACATGGATTTAAATTTGATGTTTTAAAAGAAAAATAAGGAGGATATTTCAGGTTCCAGTATGGTTCAACAACCGACCGACCCAGCCCTTAGAGCCAATCTTTATCCCGAAGTTACAGATCTGACTTGCCGACTTCCCTTAACCCCCTTGTTCCAACATGCCAGAGGCTGTTCACCTTGGAGACCTGCTGCGGATATGGGTACGGCCTGGCGCGAGATTTACACCTTCTCCCCCGGATTTTCAAGGGCCAGCGAGAGCTCACCGGACGCCGCCGGAACCGCGACGCTTTCCAGGGCGCGGGCCCCTCTCTCGGGGCGAACCCATTCCAGGGCGCCCTGCCCTTCACAAAGAAAAGAGAACTCTCCCCGGGGCTCCCGCCAGCTTCTCCGGGTTCGTTTGCGTTACCGCACTGGACGCCTCGTGGCGCCGATCTCCGCCACTCCAGGTTCGGGGATCTGAACCCGACTCCCTTTCGATCGGCCGGGGGCGACGTAGGCCATCGCCCCGCGCTTCCGAACGGCGTTCGCCCATCCCTTAGGACCGACTGACCCATGTTCAACTGCTGTTCACATGGAACCCATGTTCATGTTCATCTAACCGGATGTAGTATTTGGAACGAATGCTTACATATTAATGAACTGTAAAACATATGAACCTGAAAGGGAAAAATTGAGAAGAGTAGTTGAAATGACAGGCCAGGGTCTTAAAGGATTATTGGGAAATAAAGGAAATATAAAGGATGTTTATAGATTAAGGAAAGCATTATTTAGTTATCTTCAGAATGCAAAATTAAAAAATAGAATTTAATAGATGTAAAACAATGTTGCTACACACTCATGAACAGTAGGTGGCGGTATGCACCTTGAAGTTGCTTGCGAACCGCCATGATAGAAAAGAAGAAGAAGGAAGGAATGCTTTCATTGGATGAAAAGAAGCTGAGTGTGATTGGCTGATGGTATGGTTCATTTACATACATTGCTGAAGTTGCGAGCGCAGAGAGTCGAGCGAGAGGAGAAACAGCCGAGCGCACAGCTGGTGTTGAGCGCGGAGAGAGAGCAGGAGAGCAAGCGCGAGCAGAGACGGATTCGAGCACGCGCAGAGATGAAACTGAGCGCGAGAACAGTGTGTTGAGAGGGTTTTTCAGAGTTGAGCGCGCGCCAGACCGGTTTTGCGCGCGCGTGTTGTCTCACTGCGCGCTCGGATTGGTTCCTGCGCGCTCAAACCGATGGCACAAATATCTCTCCATAGAAAAGGAAGGTGATAGAAGGGTGCTGGGAGAGGGAGTTAGAAGCCAACAGGGAGCATGTGACCTGAAAGCTTCAGGAAGCAATTAGTGAGATGCTTCACAAACTTTAGAACCAATCTAATTAGCTGCTATCAAAGCTGCAGAACTCCTTCCTCTGCTCTGCTAAAGATGTGTTTTCCTCCTGTTGAATTAATTGCCTTTACTCGTTTGACTGTGCGAGCCGTAAAATGCAGATATGCGGAACAACATATTGTTTGTTTATTTAAATACAACAGAGTAGGAGTAGTGAGTGGTGGAGGTTAATACTGAAACGCCCGCTATGAAAGCAAAGTTAAATTGTCTGAATTTCAATGTGAGTTTAAGCATGCCAGTTAATTATGTGCATGAGGGCTGACAGACGTTTACTATTGTGTTTCGGCTCTTTCTTCAATATATACAAACACACAGTATTGTCTACAGGCTGGCATCAACAGCCCACAATGATGGTGACACCTACCTTGTTGGGAGAAGGACTGCTCAAAGACGCACTTGTACAGACTGCGGAAAGAAGCACTGAGGTCTTCAAAATCGGAGAAACAGAGCTGCTTGTCCCTTGATTCTGGGACAGGTAAACCATACTGGGGCTGTGGAGGAGGGAGGGGTGGAGGGGGAGGCTGGCCTGACTGCTGAAGGCTCAGGGACTGGGATGAAGGCTCTGAGTGACTGCTCACCTTTACAAAGACATTAAAAAAAAATGGGAACTTAGTGCTCAAAGAAAAGATACGAGTAAAAAAAATTAAATAAACTGATGAAATTGTAAATATTCAAACACTGACACAGTTTTCTGGAAGCAGATCTGGTGCAAATGGTACAAAAAGAATGTTGTTAATTTGGGTGAAAGAAAAACACAAGTTCTTTTTTTTTTTCAATGGCACAAAAATATAAGTTATTCACTTCCTAAAGAGCAGGTAAATATTGCTCAAAAATAAAAATAGACCCACTTTCACTCAGCAGACTGATACCAATGTGGCAGATGCTGATGTTAATGGAGATATATTGTGCATTCCTAGTCATATCTCTGTACAGGGTTTCCAGCAAAACATGCGCAGAATTTTAAATACAGAATTTCAGTTTCATTGTCTCCATCCAGGCTTTCGACTTTTCAGTAGATGCAGAACGGCAACAATTATCTTACCAGAGTTTAGTCTTACTGCTGCTCAGGCAACCCTGAATATATAGTTTAGATTAATTGAGAAACATGTTCTTTTTGAATACAAAAAAGCTGCCTATTTCTCTTAATCACTGAGGTGCCCATTTATATGACCAAAATTGAAATTGCATCAACATTTCTTTCATTCACCAGATCATTTAGGTGAGGTTCATTGCCGTTTTGACTTGGAGAGATGCGGTGCAAACCAGAAATAAAACTAATTAAAAATCCAGTTCTTTTTAGAGTAATACAAAAAGAAAATTTAACTGTGCCCTGCAAATGTCCTTTTATAACCTCTTTTTTAATTCTGCTGCTCAGGATGACAATCAAGCTAAATTTAATTCTACTAAATGAAAAGGAAAAAACAATAATTTTCTTTTCTCCATAAACAAAAAAAAGAAAAACGAAGCACAGTGCTTCCAATTTTTCCTCTTCATTTTGCAACTGCAGCTTGTCTTCCTCCATCCTCAATCATCTCATCCCAGCTGTCATCCTCCTCAACATCCAGCCGGTGAACACAAGCAATTTGCTGTGATCACTGTGCCTCTGCCAATATGAGCCAGCTTTCCATGACGCCATCACCCACACATCTACCTGCACCCAATAATGGGAGCATCTCGCTGCACTTCGCCAGTGTGCGTGAGATCTCTGCCAACGATGCCACCGGTAATCACTGTCAGTCAGGAGGATGTCACCCGCACCAGGTAATGAGACAGAACTAACCCTGATCCTCGACGGACTAGACCCGCAGATGATGTCTGAAAGGATAGAGGAGGAGGAAGACTGTGAGGGGTGGCTGAGGTGATGAAGGAAGAAGGAAAACAAAAGATGGCCTGCAGAAATAGGAGGTTAATGAGATGAGATTGCACTGACCTTTACTAATGCAGGTGGGATGTAGCAGGAGAAAAGTGATTGATGGTAAAAAGGTGAGCAGCTGTTACCAGAAAGAGGCAATAAAGAGCAGTGGTGTTTCTGCTCTGCTGTAAACCTGGATTAAATGTTGTTGAACAGTGAATCCTTTAACAGCATGCTACTAAATATAACAGGACCGATAAATCTCCTTCTGTTGCTGCATTGTAGAGTAAGATGTCTGCAAAATGTGAATAAATAAAAGGAAGTAAAATGGAAAAACGATTTCCCAACTTATATAGCTCAACATACATCTGCTTTGCTTCATAGCCATGTGTTCTTGCGTTTCCCATTTTGAACATTGGCTAACAGGAAGGGCTTTTTGTGCAAAGGAAAACAATCAAAAACAACTTAAAACAGCCAATAATGATATAGGACCTTGAATGTCTTATTATTCAATGTACAGTAAGAGCTTCATATTGCCATTCAGGGATATATAATTACTAAAAATAATACTTTTTTGGACTATATAAAGAGCAAAAAATGACAAGTTTCAAGGGGTTAGAGATGGCAGTAACATCGTTGTAAATCAAAACAAAAAAATTAAATAACAATTTAACAACTTTAATCTGTAAGCTAAAAGTTAAACCAATTATTAACATATTTTAAAACTTTGCAAAACATTTAAAAAGTGACAAAGAAATCAGTCAGCCTTCAATTTACTGTAAAAATAAATAAGTAAAATACCGGTTTTGCCTTCAGAAACTCACATACTTAAAATGCCTCATTATTTCGCTTGGTGAAAAACAAAGTAATTGAAATGGGGTATAACCTGTGTAGACTGATTAAAATAAATTAATGTCTTTGATTTCTGTAGTTTTAAAAAACTAGAAAGAAAGTAAACCAAAAACGCTAAAAGTGGAAACTAAAAGCATAGAATATGAACCGTTCCAATTTCTACATTGCATACTCTATATTCTCCCTCTATTCTTACATTTAAAAAGAAATTATATAATCTGCACTACTACATATGTAATATAATCAGACTAAGCAAAGTTAATTGAAATAACAGAGAAAATGTACTGATCTTTAAAGAAAATATACTAATGTCCTACAAGAAAAAAAAATTAAACTAGAAAGTGGCAATGAACTGTTTTTGCTGTTTTCTCATCTCCAAAACAGAGTTTAAAACTGATCAGTGATCGACATACAAGATAGATTTCTATTTCAAGATGGAGCCTGATCCTCTTATTCGCTATTCAGAGTGTGATTCCTGCTACTATGGACAAAATATGTTAACATCAGATGGGTTGGAAAGTAGCATATCTTATTAATAGGAGATTTATCATGTCTGAGAGGTTTTTGTATTATATGAAAAATTCTACAAATCTGTTTTTCTCAGCTTGTAGAATAATCTGCTCCGTTTTTTGTTGACTGTGTTTTAAATAGGTCAGATCTACAGGGGTCAGGCACCATTTAAATACACCAGAGATGACACAGGTAAACTCCTTTTCCACCTGCTGTTTTATTTCTGCATGACAGGAGAGAGCCTCCTTCAAAGCATCTTATTATTGCTCACAGATTAAAAATTTATTTTGCTGCGTTCAACCCTGAGGGTTGCAGAGAGGCTGCATGAGCACCACAGATAGTCTGCTGCAAAACAAAAACTCAATTTACAAGGTAAATAATAAGTGCCTATGATGGCTGCACTCGACAAGACAATGCATGTCTTTATTCTTCAAACTGCATTGTGTCTGAAATGATGGATGGCCTTGTGTTACTATATTTCAGTTATAAAAAAGTTTGTGTTAAGCAAACGCTGACTGAAAATGAAGATATAATTCAGTATTTCACTCTTCAACTCAGTTATATATAAAAATTAAAGACGTTTGAAAACACATATAAGTAATCTATTCTAACAATATCTTCCTATTATGAGACTTTTTGCCTCCAACCTGAACGTTATACAAAGTGAGAGTTTCAGCCATTAGCTGCGGATCCAGTGCACATATCGTTAGCCGGTTCCCACCTGCTTAGCTGCTAAGGGTGCAGCAGACACCTTCAGCACCCACCGAATCACCCAGATGATGTCGGAATTAGGAGATCACAGGTCGGGGAAAAAGCTTTAATGCTGGTCGACTTAAAATTCCCCAAATGATGAAAGAGGAGATGAGAGTTGAGAGAAAGTGTTGGCCTAGCAAATATGTCCTCTTAAAAAGGCACTCTGCAGACGTCCTCCTGCAACACCCATAGCACTCGCAGCCATAACAAAGACAGGCTCTTACTGGTGTGTAGCTGTGTACATTGGTGCCGCTGCTGACAGCAGGGTTCAGGCTGTTAAGGCTGACAGACGCCAAGCTCTGCTCTGAAAGGCTGTTGCTCAGGCTGCCACCTAGACTCCCAGGACTCTCACTGCCTTCTGCCTCTGGGTTATACAGCGCGACCTAAAGACACAAACACAGCAAGGTTTACGATTTACTCCTTTTATTTTATTTATTTATTTTTTCAATTTATGGCCAGACTGAGGAAAACAGTGATAAACATAACACATACAAATTTAAAAATATTTACAGTTATAACCTCCACCTTCCTCCAATGACAATAAATAAAATACAGCATAACCTATTTTTCAACTTCCATACATGCAACATCTATTTTAGACCATTAAACTAAAAGAAGAGAGTATGCACAGCTGTAAACCTCATGATGACATTAATCAGTTTTTTTTTATACTTCAGTTTTGCATTTTGAAATTGAAGACAACTTTACTTCTAATTTTCATGTATGGAAGTAAGTTTTCTGTTATTTGGCTCGTCTTTGCACTAACAGACACATTTTGTAAAAAATAAAAAAAACTAACCTACAGAACACATTTGTAGTGACAAGAGCTGCACAGTGTAATGCCTTGTGTTGATACATCACAAAGATTTTAAAAGCGGCGCCTCAGAATTATGTTGAATCATGTTTCTCTTGTTTTATTTGACTGTCAGGACTTGTGAGGCAAAGCGCCAGGATTACCTCCAGGCTACATTTAATTGTAAAGACAAATGTGAAAACATAGCCTTCGGGTGAGACAACAGTAAAAGCTCTCCGGGGCACAGCTCTACCCTGTGGAACATCTAGTAGTAAGAAAAACAAGAAGAAACAAAGAATTTCTGAGAAGTCTTCTCCAGTTTTACTGGGTGTGGAGAAATCCACTGAAACAAAATTTAATTTTCTTTGTTGGAATGTGTCACAGCAAGGAAAAAAAATACTAAAAGCATATTTGCAGGTTAATTTTTAGGAGCAACTATGCTTTAAGTAAAAAGATGAGAACTGAAACAATATAATATATAAAGATAATTTAAAAAAAAAACATTAAAAAATGAAATTAAGAAAAATACTTTTTTCTGTCAAGCCACAAAGCTAGATTTTGAAACGACATCTTTTGAGTATAAGAGAGAAAATGTGTAAGAGAGAAGGCTCTGGCACATTGCTGCGCCTGCAGGACGCCACCTGTCTGGACGTGGGCGGATATCATTGACGTTGGAGATCTGCATCATTATTGTCAAGGTCTCCCTCGCCCTGCTCTGAATCATTCTTTCACTATGTAAAGAGATGTCTTAAAAGAGATGTGTTATAGCTTCTCCTGGAGTAGCGCAGTGAGTGCAAAAGGACATGTTTAACGTAAATGATGCAAGATAAACATAATGGTTTCCTGAGTTGACTAAGTGCACCTGCTGCTTAATCATGTTCAGAAACTGTTACAATGAAGCTGCTTATTGCAGTTCTTTTATGGGAAGCTGGACATTCATTTACAGTGTTTATAATTATATACATTTTCTACTATTAATTACTAGGATGTGAAACAAATAGTTTGAGGTAATGTAACATTTCATAGAAAATATTCAACATTTTATTTAAAATTAGATGTTTATCTACAATGTCTTCGATTTGTCCTTTCAAAGTTAAGGTTTTAAGAACTATTTGTGGCCTTTGCTTCCAGAAAGAATTTGGGAAACAACTAATAATGTGTGATCATGTCTTTGTGATAGCCACTGTGTAGCATGAACTTTGATGTCATTTTATTTCAAAGGGTTCAACTTTCCTGTTTATGTCTTAAGATTTCTCCAAACATTAAATTAATTTTAACTTCATCTGTATACAGCCTTCCAATATTAAGGTCTGTGTTCCAGAGAGCTTTTTTTTACTCCTTCTGAGCCTCCTCGTCTCTGAGTGGCCTTTCAGTCCATGTTGGTCCACTTGTCTTTTTTAGGTTTTAGCCATTCAAAAGGTCTCTTGCTTTTCAATGCATTTCATTTAAAAACATGTTTGTTTCTAAAAAAAAAAAAAAAAAAAAAGGACCTATATCATTTCTGAAAAGAAAAATAGGTGGCTATTCCCATAGTATTTATGCATATTATCATTTCAACAGATGAATATGGGACCTTTTGCCATCTGTCTTTGTACCCAAGAAGGAATCAAGACTTGTGGATGCCCACAATGCTCTTCCACATATTTTGGCTGATTTCTGTGTTTTCTTTCCAAACTGCTGAGACAGCAGGGCGCTTATGTTGCTGCCTTAAAATACATTCACAGTTTTTTATCCTGACCTATCAAAAGCATTAAATCATCATCTGAGCTTTCTCAAAATGTTAACTCAATCTGATATCTATTTTAAAATATGTGATTACATTTCAACTTTTTTCAGATCATTTTGAAATTTACCAAATATAAACAATGTTGGCAATCCTAATTGACCTTAAACAAAATGTTTGGTCTAATTCAATGTCCAAAAGAGGAAAAAAAAAGTCATGCCTTTTTTATACAATGTTTTACAAGTAAACAACCTAAAAAACAAATAAAGGTTAGAAAAAGGGAGAACCCGCCTTCCTTGAATAGAGACTGATTCCTGAGTTCAGTTACAGCGATACCCTACCTTAATGTGTACCATAATGTGTATTTAAATGACTTTGCATTGATTCTCATAACAATTTCTTCCTAGTTGTCTTGCAACAACAAAATGAACATTTTAGACAAATGAGCTACCTTGTTATTGGCTGCACTGATGGCCAGAGTGGGGGACGCTCCCCCTGACATGATGCAGTCCATTCTTAGGGACTCTGACTCCAGACTGTAAGGGGTCGACGCCTGCAAGTGCAGAAAAAGGCAAAAACAAATGATCAGGTCAGATTTTCATGGTTTAGGTTGCATTTAGCACAGATTACATTGCCTCTTATCGTTTCTTATGTTGACATTTTGTTTTTTTGTAGCAAAACAATGTTTTTCACATGTTCTAAAGGGGAGCGAATTAAGCTTATTTTGTGAGACACGACATCCAGTTACCTCTTTGAAGTATGTGTGTCATATTTAGGTTTAGATCAAGGTAAACTAGTCCCTTTTTTGTTGAGGAAAACAATTAGATACCTCAGGAACTAAAACTTTCTCTTTAAACCTCTATTTCTACAATGATCAAATCATTCCAACCCTTTAAAATTAGGAAAAGATAGAACTTTCGTTCAGGATTAATTAAGAACTAACTAGTTAAAAAAGAATAATCATTTATTTTTTCGGCAGTATAACAGAATGGAAAACTTTCCGGATGAAACAGCCCAATGTTTCTAATTATCCACAAATCTTCTGACACAAACAAGTCTGTTTATTTATTGGGGTTTATTCTGCTTTAATCGCTTGCTGACTGTGGCAAAATGTAAGTCAGAGACATGGATATAAAAAGCTCAATACACCAATTTAATTCAGTGACTTGGTACAAAATACGAGAAACTGTTCCAATATAAAAACTAAACAAGCAGTATGACGCTACTTTTCATATTTCTTCAGCAACGAACAATAGAAATCAAAGAGTTGGTAAAATATTAGTTTATTTATATTGGGTTTGTGCAGATATCCACTGTTATGTTTTTGCAGCAGCTCTTTTCAACCAAAACGTGATACCCATATTAGATTATCTTTATGCTTCTTTTGTAGATGAGATCAGGGACTCTTTTACTCCTGTTTTGAAAAAAAATTAGCATTAAATGCACTCTACATATTTTGCATTGTTAAAAAAAGGATTCCAATATGTTACAGCAAATTGCAATATTAAATTCTAATGCACATACACTATATTGCCAAAAGTATTTGCTCACCTGCCTTGACTCACATATGAGCTTAAGTGACATCCCGTTCCTAATCCATAGGGTTCAATATGACGTCGGTCCACCCTTTGCAGCTAGAACAGCTTCAACTCTTCTGGGAAGGCTGTCCACAAGGTTTAGGAGTGTGTTTATGGGAATTTTTGACCATTCTTCCAGAAGCGCATTTGTGAGCAGTGTTGGGCACGTTACTTTGAAAAAGTAATTAGTTATAGTTACTAGTTACTTCTCCCAAAAAGTAACTGAGTTACTAACTGAGTTACTCCACAATAAAAGTAACTAGTTACTAGTAAAAGTAACTATTGCGTTACTTTTGCGTTTCTCGCCCCCGTAAACCTCACCACCCAGCCCCCACCTTCTCGCCGTGTGTTTCCAAAGCCAGCTGAATAGAGAGGACGACAAAGACAAGAACCTGCAGACAGTTTAGCATTTATTGCAACTCAACGTAAATGACATCAGGGGGAACGCGATGTGAAGTTTTATAACAGGACATTCAGATCTGGTGAGTATATGAAATTAATAACTGGGGATGTCTAATTCTGAAATCCTGTGTGTTTGGGTTGTTATAGATACTGCAACATCTATCTATCTATCTATCTATCTATCTAGATGTATACTCTGTGTGTGACATAAAATATGGATCTCCATCCCTGCCACAAAGGCCATCAAATAATGTTTAAAATAAAAAATACAGTAGGTTGAGAAGGCAGAGCATCCATCCATCCATCCATCCATCCATCCATCCATTCATCCATCCATCCATCCATCCATCCATCCATCCATCCATCCATCCATCCATCCATCCATCCATCCATCCATCCAGATTTCTCCCTTTCTCCATATAGGCTATCATTTCTGGCTGTTGTCAGGTTCATTTGATCGTTCACGCTCTCCATACTTCTCCTGTGGCGCGAGCACAGAGCGACTGTTGCGCGCCTTTAGCGAGCATGCGCGTTTCCTGTCGCTTGCGCGGTGACTCGTGCCGCCTGCGCTGTGTGGAGATGCAGAGGAAACCGTTATGTGATGGGGAAACGCAGCTCTACGTAACACCGGTATTTCCATGTGGAAAACGCTGTTTTGCTGCTGGAGTCATCCTCACTCTCCATCTCTCTGTGTGTGCTGTACGTTAACACCCGCCAGCAGAAACACCCACCTATTCAACTGACAGACGGAATCTCATCCTCCCCTCTCTCATGACAAGGCGCGCACCTCTGGATGACCTAAAAAAATAATCTTTAATATCTCTTAAACAAAAGTAGCACAAACAATATTTTTTTCTGCACAAATCTGCACTAACGTTGCACTAACCATTCAGTCTATTTGCAGAGTTTTTTGACGTGGGTGGGGTGTCAGCTTCACGCAGCTGCGCACGAGTCCTATCATGAAAAAAGGTTCATTGCGCGACCTAAGTAACGCGCAGTAACGGGGTGCCTGCAATGGTAACTGCGTTATAGTTACAGTCAAAGTAATTAGTTAGATTACTCGTTACTAAAACAAGGTAACGGCGTTAGTAACGCCGTTACTTTCAACGCCGTTAGTCCCATCACTGTTTGTGAGGTCGCACACTGATGTTGGACGAGAAGGCCTGGCTCTCAGTCTCCGCTCTAATTCATCCCAAAGGTGTTCTATCGGGTTGAGGTCAGGACTCTGTGCAGGCCAGTCAAGTTCATCCACACCAGACTCTGTCATCCATGTCTTTATGGACCTTGCTTTGTGCACTGGTGCACAGTCATGTTGGAAGAGGAAGGGGCCAGCTCCAAACTGTTCCCACAAAGTTGGGAGCATGGAATTGTCCAAAATGTCTTGGTATGCTGAAGCATTCAGAGTTCCTTTCACTGGAACTAAGGGGCCAAGCCCAGCTCCTGAAAAACAACCTCACACCATAATCCCCCCTCCACCAAACTTTACACTTGGCACAATGCAGTCAGACAAGTACCGTTCTCCTGGCAACCGCCAAACCCAGACCCGTCCATCAGATTGCCAGATGGAGAAGCGCGATTCGTCACTCCAGAGAACGCGTCTCCACTGCTCTAGAGTCCAGTGGCGGCGTGCTTTACACCACCGCATCCGACGCTTTGCATTGCACTTGGTGATGTATGGCTTGGATGCAGCTGCTCGACCATGGAAACCCATTCCATGAAGCTCTCTGCGCACTGTTCTTGAGCTAATCTGAAGGCCACATGAAGTTTGGAGGTCTGTAGTGATTGACTCTGCAGAAAGTTGGCGACCTCTTCGCACTATGCGCGTCAGCATCCGCTGACCCCGCTCCGTCAGTTTACGTGGCCTACCACTTCGTGGCTGAGTTGCTGTCGTTCCCAAACACTTCCATTTTCTTATAATACAGCTGATAGTTGACTGTGGAATATTTAGGAGCGAGGAAATTTCACGACTGGATTTGTTGCACAGGTGGCATCCTATCACAGTTCCACGCTGGAATTCACTGAGCTCCTGAGAGCGACCCATTCTTTCACAAATGTTTGTAAAAACAGTCTGCATGCCTAGGTGCTTGAATTTATACACCTGTGGCCATGGAAGTGATTGGAACACCTGATTCCAATAATTTGGATGGGTGAGCAAATACTTTTGGCAATATAGTGTATCTGCCTGGACTAAAAGCATTCAGATAGCATCTTGGAGTAGTAACAATAAGGAATATTTTAGCTTCATTCATCTGCCCAACAACAGTTTCCATCTCCCGTGTTCCTGTTGAACTAAATCAACTTCAGAGCAAATTGCTGCCATCATCAACTTAACGGCAAAGTACTGATGTTCTGCATAAGATAGAGTTGCTCCTTGGTCTCCTTGCTAATTATTCACTAATGTTCTCCTTATAAACCTCTCAGGCCTACTTACACTGATTTTACCTCATGGGTATCAAATTAAAGGGGGCTCAAAACATATGAATGTCACACTTTGCAAATATTGGCATGCAACACATTAAAAACCCTTTACAACTCTGTGCTGTCACTTCAAAATGTTTTACTACTTTGTGTTTGTCCATTAAAACAAAACTCAATCACATACACCTGCATAAATAATAGGTAAAAAAAACTATACACATTTAGTACCAATTACCCTAATTCACCAGTCAGTGTGTGTCTAAATGATTTTCTGCGGCAACAGATCCAGCAGAGTACAGCCCAAGTGAAGCACTTCTTAAATCCCTGTGAGCCTTTTCTGTTCATTTAGATTCACAAGAATTCTGAATCCGGCTTGTAGCGATTGGAGATACCCAGAGGATTTTGGCAATGAGATGGGAAATTAAATGTGACAAAGGTTATGAAGAAATTTCTGTCTGCTTCAAGTTCATGATTCTATTTTATGAGCCCCCCCAGATTCACCCCGATGCCCCAGGCTCAGAACCGCGCAAACAAGTCGGCGCGTGCTTCAAGTAAATTGCCGGACACTTAGGCAGACTGGGAAGTGGACACATCACTTGTACTTGGTAAGATGAATCAAGCCATCTTCATGAATTATTCACACATTTCAAACGTGTTCAGCAGCAAATCATTTGCTGCTGTCCTCCCCGTCAGCCAAAGCACAGGTCTATGAGAGACGATGAGCACTAAGAGATTGATTAGGTGCTACACTGGTGCCTGAAATATTCTAAAAAATTAGAAAACTTGTGTGTGTGTGGGGGGGGGGGGTTCCTCCCTGTTTGACTTCCTTTAAGGTTCAAGGCAGCTTGGCTGACTTCCCCAACTGCTTACAGTAAGAGGATTGGTTGGTAACAATGCAATCTTTAATTTATGATAAACTCCCAGACAAATGAGTTGCCGGTTCCCCCGATGGAAGCTCTTAGAAAAAAGAAAAAAAAAACAACAAAGAGGAGATGGGGGGAAATGAAAACGGGCTGGTGGAAGAAAGCGGGAAGACAGAAAGAATAGGTAGATAATTGAGTGCCGACAGACAGCAGACAGAAAGGTATACATGAAATGAAAGGGCCATGATTATCCTCACCGCAGCTACACAACTAATAGCACAATGAATTTATGAAAGTGACGTTCAGCCTCTCTGCCAGCTTAAACTCTTCACAACCGTGCAGCCCAGGTGCAACTAAAGACCCCCAAATAAAATCACAAAGACATATTTAGTCCACCTTTCCTATCCCTCCAGAGACAGTAATACCGCCTTAAATCCCAGCACTTAAAACCTCCCATTCTCTCATTAGCCCATGTGACAGCCCACAGTGTGTCTGCCAGCAGTGCAAGTGAGGCATAAGAAAAGGGGTCGAAGGGCCCATCCATGTAAGACAAGATGACAAGGCTCTGAATTAATTAATGTTTGTAATAAAAAAAAATGTTGGTGAAGAAAATATGTCTAACGGCAGCCCCAGGGCCCTCTGTGGTAATTAACTGGAACACAAGCCTAGAACACTTCCTCCCTCCCTCCCCTCCTCCAGCTACTTCTTTCCCCTCTTCGCAGCTCCACTCTTTTTCTCCTCACCGTTCTGTCTACATTGATGTCTGTTTCTCTTTGTTTCTTCATCCTTTATTTCAAACTTCTCTGTGCTTCTTTTCAGGCAACCCTTTCTTTCTCTGCTACCTCCAGTCTTCCCTAAGTGAGCAATAGTGATTGTGCACTTTGCCGCTCCACGCCTGCCTGAGCTTTCCTGAGACGGGGAGGGTAAAGCAGCAATATGGACAAGGAGGTAGAGAGGAGAGTGGCAGGAAAACGGGGAGATAATGATTATGTTGCTACAAACAGAGACAGAGATGCTGGATAATAGGTAGAGACGGGGGATGTGATGAACAACTGCAGGTTTCTTTAACGTCACAACACAGTCAGATGTACATTCGGAAAATCTCACTGTAATCAGGGGAAAAAGAGCAAGGAAAAACCTGAATGGATGGCTAAACGGAGCGAAGCCATGCTGTCTGAAGATCGTCCCCATCCAGTACTCACTATAATGACTTAAATTCATTTAATCTACCACATTTTAAAACTTGAGATACTAGAGTTTATGGTAAAAGGCCTACCAAGATATTGTTTAATTATTTTATTCTAAAACCTGTTGCGTTATTGTGTGCCAGCTATCGATGCATAGTTAAGAAAGATGAGAGTCTTCTGTACTGAAGTTGTGGTGCTACAGCAGTTAATGCAGATGGATAAAATTGGCTTTTAAGTTCTAAAGTGCTCAGTGTTAACTTTGAGTCACTAATTATACATTAAACACCAAAGACGACTAATGAAACCACTTTATTTTAATTCCTTCCTACTCTGTGGGCATTAATCATTTGAATTGCAGTGCAGTGGCTCTATAGAGGAGGATGGTAGAGTTTAGTGGATCAAAAAGGCCTGCATCATTCCTGCTAAAAGTACAAATGTTTGGTTAATCTTCCACTCAAAAAAAGAAACCCTATTCTGCTAAATGTTAAACTTGGCTGTTTGGATTTATTTAAAATCCAATTAGTTATGAGTATCTAAACTAAGTGCTGAAGAAAAAGAAACTTTTTGCACAGTTTCCTGCACACAGAGGTTGAACAACAGAGAGTTTTGGAAGGGGTTTGTATGACGTGCGCATCCCATGGCGGAGCTACCCCTGCACTGCCTTTGTATTCAGATCTGCAGGGTTAATGAGTGAACGGCAGGCGCGTTCTGCCGAGCTGATGCAGGGTTACATATATTTATAGCCTCCGCTGCTGTCAATCAATGTTTCAAAAACCAATCTTCATTCCTGCGTCTGAATCCTCTCATCTTTCCTGCAGCTTGTTGCTGCTTCTGCTGTGAGAAACTGAAGAATACAAGCCAGAAAGATCTGGTGATTATATGCATATATAAGCTTTAATTTCGACTGTGATGTGTTTAAAAAATATGTTCTAATATTTCTAAAGTATCTCAGGAGTTTTTTCGACATCTCTTGTTGCACCCTCACCAAATGCTTTGAAAGCATTCCCAGAAAATGTTCTCTGTGGAAACAGAATTGTTTCTGATTCCTCCATCCTGGCATAAGAAATATCTTATGTTCATGAAAACCTCTAACGATGACTTTAAGTGTGGTTCCACTCAGGATTTATTTTACCAGTGAAACAGCAGACATGTTTAAGACTTTAAAAGCAAAAGACTCCAGTGTCATAAAGAGAGGTATTCAGAAGGTTGGTAAAATTGTACCCTTTCTCCAGAGCGTGGTCTTTTCTTCGGCCTGCTGGGCATTGAGTCCTCTTTAGGGTTGGTGTCTATCGCCCAGTAGGAGCCCTGAAAAGTAACCACAATGAATACACATAAGCATCTGCTCTTGGTCTTGCTTTCGGTCTTTCCAAGCTTTCAAAGTAGATTTGGAAACCAATACACTTCCAAAAATACAATAATCATTTCTTTTTATTTTCTCATTTTAAACACAAGTTTGCAGAAATCTGGAAAAGACTGCTTCTTCCTCTTAAATGCAGAATTTTTACTGTCTGTTCCATCTGTAGATTGCATTTGTGGTCATGTGAATTATTAATAAGATGTTGGAGTCTTCTGCAGCAGGCAGTGCTTACATTGGGTAAGCAGGTAGGACTTATCACAGACAGCCAACATAAAGAGTTAAAACAACTCCATATATTTGTGTAATTATAATTTTTTTTTTTTTTAAGTGCTTGACAGGGCTAGATTCTAAGTGTAATTCTCCTTATCTAGAGCTAAATTTAATATAAGGGTTCCTTCCATAAGAGGTAATGGAACATCTTATCTTTTCTGAGAAATTGATATGATTAGAAGCAGTACTCAAAAAGTCAGTCTCATAGTTTTGATGCACCATATTCCCAATCTGTTTTGCTCTCCATCAACCATTGTAGGTAACATGTAATAAGCAGCTTCTTTTCTTCAGCTCTAAGAGAATAATCTATCAATTTACCCTGCTCAGGTCATCAAAGGTACTTTAAATTGTTACTGTTGTGCCTATAAGGATGTAAAAGGGTCAGTTCGTTTTATCATTGCTTCCAACTTTCTAAGCACATTTGATCATCAACCGGCATCTTTAGTTTTTCATCTGTTCTATCTCAACCATGTTTACAAGCTTATCAGATGGATAAGATTGTTGTATTTCCTTTTTCTGTTCAACATCTTTTTATTCAAGGAAGTGGATTTCTCATGTATTCTGGTCATCTATGTGAAAATCTATATTACAAGTTAGTTTTGTGGTGAATTCTGTTTACCCAAGATTTTGGCATTGAATGCCAATACTGTTTTTGGGTGAATTTAATTTGTCTTTATGAATCATAATAAAGGAATTTATACAAACAGCATTGGTTATATTTTTTCTAACCTCCCTGAATTTAGTAGTCATTTATCATTTGTATTAGCACTAAACAAAATGTGCTGCCTGTTTTAGAGGGCAGTTGCTGTAATACAGGGTTTTATGAATATTTCCCAATAAAAACAAAGTACATTGGTAACATCTTAAACTGTCTGTTGTATCCTGAAGGTTAGTGTGGGTAGCACTCCTAAAACAAGACACATATTCCCTGAAAAAAAAATTATAAACAACTTGTGTAATGCCTAAACTGCTAATCTTGGTATCAAGTAACATGAAGAGTGATTTGGATGTGAAAATCTAAGAGTAAATTATTCTGGCCCTGAGAAAATTAGATTTTAATACCCCCACAATTGTTCCACCTAATATAATAAAAACAACAAATCTTTACATACTAAACCTGTTTTCCATGCTGTAAAGAAGAAAAATCAATAAACTGAGTCTAAAACATGTGAGTGACACCTGTAGCCAGTCTGCTATCCATGCAACAAGGTTGTACATACTATAGGATGCCTATGCTGTAGGATGCCTATAGGATGCTTTTTTACTGCTGCTGTCCTTTTTTCTGCATTTTCATGTAAGGTTCTTAATTTCGCAATATTTCTCTCAAAACCATCAAGCAGCTATAAAAGTCTGAACAATTGCTATTGCAGCTGAATATTTCTATTAACTCAAATGGTATGTTGACAGGTTGATGGTGATTGACAGGTCACGGGAATAAGAGACGCATTGAAGAGAGAGAGAGAAATGGTGTAAGAAACGTCCTTTTCCACAACCCAGTTTAGCAAGAAGGCTTGGCTAACTGCATGTAGTGAGGCTAACGCTGTATTCTGCTTTCCCTGTCTCCTTTATCAATCGTCAGTATCTAACCGAGCATGGATAAAGACAGGTCGGACTGATTTAAAGCACTTTTTAGAAAAGGCAAAGAAGAATGAACAATGTGGGATTTACATGGCAAATGAGATAATATAGTCTACTTTTTCGAGGTGTTTGTTAATTTTTCATATATTAAAAAAATAAAGCTGTCTAATAGCTTCTCCATTATTAAACTCGTACAATATTTTTTTTAGGTTTGTGACACAATATTGGAACATGCAAAACACAGATTTGCCTTCAAGAAGCATCAGAAGGGAAACATTTATGTACAAAAAGTAAACCTGTACTTGAAATTATGTTTTTGTTTTTCTAAAGTGTTTTTATAAGGATTTTTTGTGTTGTTGGCATTCATATAAATATACTGGTGTGATAACTTAGTATATGTTTGATTGTTTTTTGGTATACGTCTATTTGGAATGTATAGCCCCACATATATATATATATATATATATATATATATATATATATATATATATATATATATATATATATATATATATATATATATATATATATATATATATATATAAATTTTTTTTTTTTTTTTTTTTTTTTTTTTTTTCCATAAATACACTTCCTACTGCCTGATGGGTCCCCTCATTTGTGAGAACATGTTTATGGACATAGATCTGCAAAGACCTACCACAAGTGCGCCTCAAACTCCACCACAGAATCCACACAAGACTAAGATAATAAAACTTTTGCAGATCAGGTCCTTTGTGGGCTATATTTATTGTTTACAATGGCAGCCCTGCCATCATGTTTTACGGCTTATTTAGCTGCACTTTGAACACATGTCAACTCCTGAAAAAGGCGAATTAAAATAAATATTTTTTTTTATGTTTTTTCTCTCATTTGTAAGTTCTTTTTAGGGAAATAAAGGAAGAAAAGAAAAGAAAATAAATCCATCAAATATAGGATAAAAAAATCTGTGAAATTTTTTTCTTAAACCACATCACGCAACCATAGTTGTATTCAGAATTTATTTTAAGATATTATCACTTGATATTTTGGCCCTCAGGCAGAATTTTATGAAGATCAAAGTGTGGAAATCCTCCAGAATTAATTTTTTTAAAAACAATTTCTTTTTTCTGAAGCCCTTCATTTACTCCAGTTTTATTTTGTGCAACATATTTCCTCTCCCTTACAAACAAATTGAAGAGGTTCATCTAGGCCAACCATAGACTAGGCTTAGACACACACTCCCCCCAACCTCCACCATATTTCTTTCCTCTTCTCCTCTTCTTGTCTCTCAGTCCCACACCACTGAGCTGTACACAGCCAATTAACGTTAGCACATGCATGGTTTAGCTTCCCCCCTCTCTCTAAGGCTTCACAAGAACATGTACATTCAACTTCTGCACACACTGTTGACCCCCCTTCCACGTGCTGAGGTATCGACCACTTCGATCCTGGTAGTAAATTAAGGTGCTGCTCAGGTCCAAGTCAGGCTAATCAGGAGGGTAGCCACTCTCTTTGTGTCTTTCCAGATTATAGGCCTCCACTCAAGCCGAAGGATTTCCTCTGAATTATTTAAAGCTTCTTCCCCCTAATTCATTTTTCAATGGCTCCAAAATCCCCACAGCCAGGAGAACCTCCCTCCACTACCCCTCCCACCTAGCAAAATGTGCAGAGTTTTGAGAGTTCATTGAAAAGTTTTTGCTTCATCGTTTTTTTTCTCTCTCCACCATAAAAGTTGTGGGTTGGTTCTTACATTAATCCTGTGGTGTGTGAAGGTTTCAACATTTGAGCGTTTATTAAAAAAATAATGTAAAGACAAGCTTCAGTGATCAACCTTAATTATATACTGCCTGTCTGAGCCTGAGTCCTACGATTCAGCACAAACAAGGACTTGACAAATTGTTGTTATCAAACCGACTCTGCAGAAGTGGCTGTGGTAAAAGTCGGCTTCATAACCACAACAGCAAGCACAGCAGGAGCGGCAGCAGCAGGGGTGAAACATATCTAAAGCTTCCTGCGATTGTGTCCAGGAGAGAAAAAAGAGTGAACAGAACTCTAATAAAGCATAACAGATGCATGAAAGGCCTTGGATATGAAGGTGTGTACCTACATATACTTATTATTCATTACTCTCTGTGCCACATTATTACTTGGCAGAATCAATATTGGAGGAAAGGCAGAACACAGAGAAAACCACATTAGGCATTCACCACAGCTGGTAGTGGAGCCACAAACTGCTTTTAAGTGCGCAGGGATGTGCGCGTCTACAGGGGCTCCTACATAAAGTCGACAGAAATTTGTAAAGGGGGTTCCTATGCATTTTTTAAGTCAAACTTTCATATTTTTCCTGTCTAAAAATTGTTTAAATCCTTCAAATCATATTTCCCATGGATTCATTGAAATTGTTGATACTTTTCTAAGTTCTCTTTTTTACCAGAATCTTAGCAAAACATGGACGGATATCAGGTTTCAAATGGAGCCTAGGTGGAAGTTCAACTGAAGAAACTCATTGCTTTTCATTCATCCAGCTGCGACACAGCTAATGAGCTTTGAACCAAACCTCCACGAAAGCCAATCGGCATCCAAAGTTCATCTTAAAAGGCCTCCGATATGCCGTCTGCTCCTGTGGGCAGGCTGTGGATACGCTGTGACTTCATTCAGAGCGACACCGTTTAAACCCACCACCAGCCCCTCCTCCACCATCGTAGCTAAAGCTTCATCAAAGTGTAATTCCTCCCGAACTCTTACTGCGTTCTCTGTCTCATCTTAACCGGTCCGGCAGAAGACCGCCACATTGAGCCTTGTTCTGCCAGAGGTTTCTTCCCAACGGGGAGTTTTTCCTCTCCCCTGTCGCTCCATGCTTGCTCATCATGGACAGGTTCTCTCAACCTGTGTTATCCAAGTCGGACTTCCATCTTCCAGGTCCCTGAGTGAAGCTCTAGTATCAGCTCATGCAATCCACTGGATCTCCCCATAAAGCTCAGCATACCGTCTCACTAACCAGCAGTCTACAGACTGACCAACTTCATCTTTCTCCACTCCACCACCAGTTTCAGGCTTGGGGGGAAACAGACCTATTCTATGTTTCCTGCCGAGGTCTGAGCGCCAAAGGCCAAGTAATTGTATCAATAAATTTCTCCTAATTGTCTTCTCTCTTCGTGTGAGTTTTTCAGGTTGAATTTGGTTTAAGTCATATAGCAGCAATTCACACCACGTCTCATTCTGCATTAAGGGTGGATGAGCAGGCAGAAGACTTTTTCAGAGACGTTATCCTCTTTTTTCTACACTTATCCAGACTGAGAAAACTCTTAAACACTACAAAAAACTTCCTTCCTACATATGAAACGCTCATCAGTCAAGCAGCTGATTGTTCCATATGTTCCTAATAGAGTAGCTTTGCTTTTAGACTCCAGGTTTACTGGTAGTAAACTTTAATGGGGGGGGGGGGGGGGGGGGGGGGGTCTTTTAATATTGAGGCCTCTCTTGTGCTTAATGTTTAATTTTCCGTATTTAGTCTTAAATAAGCCCAGACTCCTGGAGGACACCCAAACCAATACTCATTACTCTGCTACTTAGTCTGCAATTACTCATCAGTATTATTGGTAGCATTATTTTAATGTCGTCCATAAATGTTACATTTTGAATGTTTTTTATTTTTTCTGCTTATAATTTGAGACCTGGAGTTTCTGTTTTCAGCTGCGTCGCCTTTCTGTAGGGGGACCATCATGCTACAGCTTCCAATAACGGTGTGTTTGTTTTTATTAGCACTGCAAAGCAAGTAAGCAACTGGTGTAACCACATGTTTGTTCATTGCTGCTAAATCAGTCACTGAAATAATACTGTCCTTACTCAGAAAACTTTTAAGCAAGTGGTTTAAAGAATTTGACTTTGTCAGGAATCCAGTTTTTGTGTTTCCTTTTCTCCTCCTCCAGGTGGTGCCCCGTCCTCATTGGGCCTCCCTGCACACCTGCAGCTCGTTGTCTCATTACCTGAGGACTCCTAAGCTGCTGACTGCCACTACCTCGACTCCAGAGTGTTTGCCAGTTTGGGGTACTCTAGCCACGCTTAGTTTATCAGAGTCTAACCTGAGTTTTTGTTTTGCCAGTTTTGGGTACTCTAGCCAAGCTGGGTTTTGCTGAGTCAAACTGAGTTTTTGTCTACCTGAGTTTTAACCTTGCTGTTTTTGTCTTTGCCTCTCGGCAGGAAGTCATACTGCAAACTGGATGTTTTGGATCTTCTCCCCCCGGAAGGATTCTCTGAGCACCAAACTGAGCTGAGGATTCGAGCTTGTGTTTTGGAACTACTTTTCCCCAAGGATTATTTGGGCGTCTCTCTGAGCAGGAGATTCATCTCCACAAGAACCGTTGAAGTACCGCAGGAAAATTAAGTGGCAGTCAGCTCCTCCGTTCCTCAAGGAAGAACCGTAGTCTGGGTAAGCCCTGTCCGCCCTCCAACAAGCAAGTCTTTACTGGAACAACCCACACTGACTAGATTCAACAAGAGACACCTTTTTCTGGAAACATGAGTACTGTTGCCTTAATTCCCTTCTTTAAGTCAAAGACACAAATTTCCCACTGAGCCTGAACTAACCGCAGACTCTTCGCCTTCACTTTACAGTCCCAGTTCGGCAGTGTTCAGAGCAGCACTGGACCCTTCTCTAACTATTCAAAATAAACCTGTTAAACTTTTCCCTGGTCTCTCTGTTTGGTCTTCTGCATATGGGTCAGAGCTCTAGGTAAAATCATGACAGACTGCCCTGTTATATCAAATTGGAATGAACCTGAATTTAAATATTTCTATATACTGTAATTGCTCTGATATGATTATACAGTATATTTCTTTATGTCACCTAGATTAATTTGTCATAAAAGTTTCTTAAAGGTACATATGTTTTTATTTGGTACTATCTATTGAATATGTAATGAAGTAAAGTTAAGCAAATTAAATATTTTTTTGGACAACAAAAGGCCGTCTCTGGAAAAGCAACACTTATGAACATCTCTCCTCTGGACAAAACAGATTTCTTTTTTAATAAAATTTGTCTTGATCAGCCTATTAAGCCACCTCATATTGGTACTTACTTTACCAGGATCGTCTTTGGAGCGAGGCACTTTGAGAAAACACTTGTTCAACGACAAGTTGTGTCGGATAGAATTCTGCAGCAAAAGAAGAGAAGCAGAGAGAAGAAAAAATGAAAACACAGATTATAAATAAACATGAAACCCAGATTTTTTAAGCACTGGGAACTTTCACTTCTGAAGTTCTGGTAGTTAGAAACATGGGTTTCAGAAACATTGTTAGCAGGTTAAAATTTACATTTTTCACCATCAATGATTTAAATCCTACCAACCTTGAGGACATTTTATGCAGCTTTGACATCTCACAATTGAAAAAGTATTCTCTTAAATCTATTTAGATTTAGTGTAGGAAATGCAGTTATGTGACAGCGGTACTATCTACCAGGAGGAGGATACACAGTTACATCACTGTGATTGGTCTCATCTATCATTCTTTACTGTATATTTGAAAATCCTAATACAAATTATATGAGATTCTACAGAACGGCTAAAAAAGTCATTAATATAATGAATATATGCTGGGAGGAAATCGTAACATCCACACAACAAGGGTACTAACTATTAAAGAACAGAAATGGTGCTGGAACCTTCTTCCAGCAAGGAAGAGCATTTTTCAAAGGGTTTTGTGACAGTTTTGATGGCTTTAATCTACCAGAGTTAATAAAACTTCCAACATAAGAATGTTTAAAATATCTAAAAAATGTCTAAGGTGTGTCATTGCAGCAGCTTGCAAAGTGTAGGATCCTGAAGATGGAATCCATCATTAGTTTCCAATACAAAGCACTTTGACTAGTCTAAAGTAGAGCAATAAAGGCTGCTGCTATTCACTCAGGGAGTTTTGTTAACCCAATTTGATGTTTTTCATTAAAAGAATTATTGCAACAGAGTCCAAACAAATAACATACCTGGAAACCCTATGTCAATTATAATTTAATCATTTTTCCACAAATTACAAAGGATAATGATAAGAAAAAACAAACCAATATTTGGATTATTTAAATATATATTTCTACAGTCTTTTCTATTCAGCGCTGCCTTTTTACCCTCACATCTTCCTGTGTTCCTCATTTATAGTTTTTCATGTGATCAAAATATTTTAAGGAAATATAGCATTTTATTTTTATTATAGAATGAAGATACTTGAGATCAGAGTTACTGAACACAATTCAAGGCTGAATTGTTTGACATTATGGCCTTTAAATACTTCTGATGGAACTGACTCAAAAAAACACCTCAAGGTCAAAAGCTTTTTTTTTTTCTCGTTGCATATCTAGATGCAGTGATGATGCATAGCTGAAGATTATGCAATGACTACAGTCCACTAAAAACACACATTAAGATAAAGCTCTTAAAATGACAAGGTGCCCTGCTCTAAAAAAAGAAATTAATCAGCTTACAAATAAAGCAGATGTCCTAAATTCGAGGAACTAAATATTCCCCTTCGACCTGATAAGGCTATGAAAGAGATTTTTTAGTCACTCAGAGGTACAATCCAAACAGTTATGGCTGCAATAAGCAGACAGCTGTATAGTGAATTGTATTTATCTTTTGGACACATATGAAAGTGATGTTTGATAGGGAAGCTGAAATGCAAAGTGTTACAGATAACTGACCAGTAAATACAATACTGGAACAATAATTTGTATAATTCTAAGGTGGGATGCTTATAGAGTTGCCCAGTGAGGAACTGTAGAATAAAAGAAAAAAAAAGCTTAAATCTCACTGGAATTATTTCAACTTCTGCTTATGATTCTACTGACTATAATGAGAGGAAGCTGATACTTCTGTCTGTAAAATCTCATGATGTGTGTGTTTCTGTGTGTGTGAGACATGTGCATGTGTGACAAGCGAGAGGAAGAGAAAGGCATGAGACCAGAGAGGGGGCCTGCAACAGTGTACGCTAACCTGACATGAACCTGTTCTCCCTTCAGGCTCCTGTTCTCCACTCATCTGCTGCTGCTAATTAATACCACTGGGGAGGAGGAGGGGAGAAGATAGATGGATAGAAGGAGTGTTTTTTTCTTTTCCTACTGTCTTGTTTTTACTGCCCTACACAAGCTTTGTTTCTCCTGCCAAACTATTTTACTCTCAGTCAGCAGCATATTGTAGCAACCCTGCCCACCTTTTGCTTCTGCCTTATTCTCCTGAAGAGATGCTTCACCAGTTTCTATTTCACTTGGCAGGTCAATGGCTGTCCATCACGGAGACGCATGGTGATTGTGGTGATTGAAATGGCAAACAGGAATGTCACAGGCTCTTCTTGCACCTGCAAACCCTTGCTCCCAAAAAAAATATCTCATGTATGGTGCCGCTCTATCAAACACAGAAAAGCACTTCAATTTCAGCAGCAGGCTTTGACTTTCCCAACTTCTACCAAAATTTGGGGGGTTTGTTTATTTATACACAGTTTTCATAACCCAAGCAGATTTGCACACCTGTGTATGTCTTGCAGCGTTTGCACGATTCTGTAAATTTCAGACTTTGCACACTCTGGCATTTTCTGGCATGTGTGTCCTTGAGTTTCGATGGTGCTTAAAATCAACCAAGCCAACAACAAAAATCTCTTAGCTTTCTAAATTCAGTCCTTACTATGTAACAAAGCTTGGTGTAAATTATCCCTGCTGTGCAGAACCACAAATGGGCCTCGAATGATTGAAGAGAGAGGTTATTTTCTGATTCAGGGACGAGAGAAGCAATCTGCCAATCAGGCAACAGTTTGCATATGAAGGGGCCTCTCGGTAAAGTACCCAGGGCTTATTACATTGGTTTGTGTGTATGATATAATGCAACCTTACTTTTATCATAGAACATAGGATAAATAAAGTTTCCTCTGGGTTCATTAAAACCTTTAAACTGTAGCTAATTACAGCTGCTTTTTTTCAGCAAACCTGTTAAACTGGACAACAGACTCGATTGGAGATGCAACTGTGAAGCTGTAGACAAGGACAAGAGCAGGCTGAACTTCATAAGGAAGTGTATGCCCTTCAGGGTTTACAGGAAGATGCTGCGCATATACCTTTAACCACTGAACACGGACACAGTTCTTACGCAGACTGTGGATCGCATGTTATTCTACTTATCAAAACCTAACCTGCGGCTCCAACACAAAGCCACAGGAGGACCTCCTTTCATATGACCCCATGGATAACAAAATATTTGTTCTGGAGGTAAATAAAAGCACACCATTTTATATGACACCACCCATCCCTTTTACAAAGATAACACTAAAAAGGAAAAGGTATGGGCTGAAATTACCAAAAACAATGGTGTTGAATGTGGGTAACATTATTTTTGTTGCATATTACATGCTACATGTGGTCAAAATAAAGAGAAGGCATCAGAGACACAGGTTATAATGGACAAATAACCCCTTTATTGTTCTATTTAAAGCCTACATGTATTGCGGGAGTCCAACCACTCAGAGGTACTCTGCTCTAAAATACTCGCGATGGAATAGGGTGATTTACAGAAACCGCAGGACATATGCATGAGAGTGAATGACATAAAGAAGCTTAACAAGCTGATAAAGAAGGCCGGTTGTGGTCTAGGAACTCCTCTCGAACTTCCCCTCTTCAGAAAGGAGAATTCTTAATAAAATAAACATTATGGCAACAGTGAGCATCCTCTTCAGATAACAGGAGTGTCTTCAATCAGAGGCAACTCCAGATCTAGTGCAAGACAGACAGCTACAGAAGATCCTTACTACAGCTATTAAGATTGGCAACGACTCAATGAAAAAAGAACAACTTGAATTGCAACATCTAATTGCTCTTTGGGATCAATAAGTATCATTTGAACTGAATTTGATTGAAAATAAATGTGAATTTACCATTATTTCTTTTTAAATAAGTTCAAAATTGAATGTCTTTGTTTTTTTCTCTGTAATCATTTCTGTGCTTTAAACTTAGAAAAATGTTAGTTTGGCCTCAGTAAAATGGTTATTTTTTTCATTTATTCCCATAAAAACACTACACCCACTTTGCTGCTGCTAACTGCAGGGAACAAACCATTCCTTATCACAGACAGCTGCAAGTACACAAGAGGTTGTGTACAAATGTGCGTGTGTGTGTCTAATTATAAAAACATACATAAGAAGATTTTCCTTCTACCTGGAAAACGTCAATCCGAGCCAGCTTGCTGGTACAGATTGCTCATCTAAATATAAATCCCTGAAGCAAATGCCCTTTTTCCTTCATATTATACAAACAATAATCTTCCCATGAATGGGGATAGTCACATCAATAAATGTACTGATTAGCAGTGCTGTGAAGTAAGATAATGAAATCTACGGCTGCATCTTCCTTCCACCCACTCCTGGCTCCGCTAGATTAATGAGCTCTCTGGACCTCACGGGGCAGCGCCATCACTGTCCAGCAGATGATGGGCAACACATGTATGGGGATCGTATGTAAGCATGTCTGAGCTTAGAGATCACAGGAATGATAACGTAAAATAACCCTAGGGGAGTTCTGTAACCCTGCAAGGAGCTAGACTATATCAACGCTTCCTCTAGGATGTTTCCACACAGCAAACTTCCACTTTAGCATCGTTGTTGGCTTATGGAAAAGAAACTTCAGATGACACCAATTTACAATTAAGTGCTTGGAATTGCTATTTTATTCAAATATAAATTTAAATGGTTTCACTGAATAATAAAGAAAGTACTTTAAGAGCAATAAACAAATACATCTCTTTTTTTTTATATCTCCTTTCAAAAACAGTTGATTAAATAAAATTGCAATTTTACAGTAATCAATGGTATGTTGTCCTTAATGTCAACTTAAAAACAGATAAAGGACTAATGCAATAACAACAAACATCTGTGAAATGCATTTGAAATGTAATTAATCTAGCAGGCCTTTGCTGCAACCGCAGCTGCAGCTCTTCTGGGGTATGTCTCCACTAACTTTACACAGATAAGAGACTGCCAAATTTTAAAACACTGCTCAAAATGTCCTTTTTTTCGCTGGCTATTAACACTAGCAGTACTAATTTGTTGTTACCTTGTTTATTCAGCTTAAATGAACATGAATTATTGCCTTATTTTATATGTTTTATTGTTTTTAGCTATTTTCAGC